AAGACAAATGTTGATAATAAATTGTTTTCAAGCTGCATAGTAAATACAGTACACGATCAGGAATTATCTTTTTAATTTCAGTGTAATAGAATTTACCAGGTGTGAGTGTTGCTTATAATGGATGGTGACAGCGGCGGAATCCAAGATGCATGTTCCGTTGTACTTAGGACTCATCGGCTGGAGGTAGCTGCCGCCGGATGAAAGATGTTGGTCCCGCAGGACTTGAACCCATGTGCGATCGTTTCGAACACCAGATCGTCGTTTACTAAGCCACGTTAATCACTCGTTGTGCGGTGGATATAGTTTTATATTGTCCTAAATTTCACTATTAGCCACTATCTTTCCTCAATATAAAACTGAAACACGAGAAATGTCAAGACATTTGCGCATGGGCCCATTTTCCAACACTGACTAATCAATTCGATCCAATCAACAACGGAATAAAAAGAATATCTAACCGTGACTGTCGACGTAAAAAATCCACAGGCTTTAGAAACATTGAAACTTTCATGAAAGTGGAACACAGTGGAAAGAGAGAAAACGGATTCGATAGTGTCGATGTGAAACACATTTTCATGCAAATTTACTCTGCGATAACCATGAAGTATGTGAAAAAGCCAGTTGATTCATTATCTCTAAGGTAACCAACTTTTCTGTAAACCCTGTTAAACCATGGCTTTCACTGACTACTCATCTAATCTAGCCTTTTTTTCTAATCACAGTTACATGCATCTAGTATTTGACAAGCAGAAAAGTGAATGATAGCTAAAATTCCTTTTTCGCTTATACTACCACTCTCACTTTCTTATCATAATCTATCATCATAAATCCGGAAGCGACATTCGACGGTCTGATGACCGTTCGATCAATTCCAACTCTGTAAACTTTTGAAAACGAAGTACTTATTCTCTTTAAAACGTTTTCCATCTTCATCAGCTGGCACATACTCCTTGTGCATTAGTGATTGGTAGGGCATGAAACCAAGACTTGAAGTTTCAAAGTAGAGAGTGAAACATACAAATGATCCAAATTTGTTCTAATGTATAAAGTTGAGCGTGCTGGGCTTCCATGTCAAATCAAATTACAGGGTTTCTCATCATCTTAGAAGATTGAATTTTGATGTGTTTTGGAAATCTGTTCACAAACTAATTAAAATCGAACAATATACACCAGTTGTTATTCATCGTAGACTGACATCAGTTGGAGGAACAAAGGGAACCTGGGAGCAGTGGACAGCTGTTTCGTCCTAGTATGGGACTCCTCAGCAGTGCGCACTGCTCACAGCTGTCCAGTGCTCCCAGGTTTCCTTCGTTCCTTCAACTGATGTCAGTCTACGATGAATAACAACTTGAAGTATTTCCAAATCTCCACAATTCCCTCAAACTATACACTAGATAAACAAGCAACTAAACTGATAATCTAATTCGCCAAAAGAAAACAAATACTTCTGCATTACGCACACGAAGAGATATGAGTGATATTTTAAGAGTTAGCAGAATATGGCTGAAATACGATACTTTCTACGATAATTTAATAGATCTGAAAATTTCTGTTGCCCAATATTAACACCAGTACATCAGCGAATTATGTCAGACAAAACTTTAATCGATAGCTAGTTTGACAATGCAAAAAAACTTTGAAAACAAGGTTATACCTTTCGCAAATTGTTTTTTGATGGTGCTGGCTGAAAACAGCTAAAAATAGGGTGGAAATGTAGTTGATCTTTGGGCGAGACTATATATATACATATATGTAGTAAAGCTATTGTTTTATCATGTTTTTCAGATGAAACACAATATACTGTATCTTTAATGTTTACGTCTATGGAACTTCATGCTTTCTTATAACAATAACATATTGGTGTTTTCCGTTTGATCCGTATTTAGCAAAAACTAACAGACTGATCTTAGTAGATTCGCATTAAGAGCCTAATAAAATTGCTTTTGCGCAAAAATGTTCATCTAGACCATATTACCGACTAACAAACTTACAAACACGATGGCTAAGATGAATAATGTTTGACACAGAAGATTATGACTAAAGAATATCACACCGTTTTATACCGCAGAAGAATCGTAGTTTAAAAATTCACACTTCTAAAATGTAAATAGTGTTCGGGCGATATGTCTATCAATTAACTGACTAGTTGATCAGCGGTAAATGATTACTGAGTGTAACGGGTATTTCGTCGATTATTCTTATAGAGCCGACAGGTAGGTGATTACTTTGCATTGCACTAATTATTCACCTATTGAACCTGTTTGAAATCAAGATAGATCACAATCAGGCAGATATGACGTCTGTTTGATTATTAGCTTGAGTGTAGTGCGAAGGTTTAGTTGATACACTCTAATGTCGAACAGCAAGGAGAAGTGGTAGCAGGAGAATACCTGGCTCACTGTTAGACACAAAATGCTGTTCTCAGGACTAATGAGTTGGTGTTGCATTAAATGAGCCATGAAATTCGTTTGCTGACCTGAGATTACTGAGCTTGTATTCACTAACTCCGGTTAACAAACTGATGAAATTAACAACGGAGATGTCATGCAATCGCTGTGCTAGGTCATCTGAAAAAGCTTTCTAGTGAGATCTACTGATACAAAGTCATCAAAACAATGAATATTTTCACCAATGAGCTCAGTAATCGAAAAAATGTCTATGAATTATGAACAGCTTTCCAAGTAAAGGATGAAATGTGTATAAATATGAAATAGGGTAAAGAGGTCAGCAAAAAGGTACATAATACTGGCACCAAAAATGGTAAATAGTTTAAAGTGTAAAGTTAAACATATGAAGTTAAGTATTTATCTTCCAAAACAACAAAAATATTATTCAGATGATTTTATTGATGGTTCACTCAGTGCTTGGAAATGCTTCCAGTTACTCAACATCAAAGCTGCTCCTACTTCAGGTTAAAGGGTTAGTAACCAACTATCTGAGCATCCCGAACACTTCAGAAAGAAGCATTTTGAAAAATGTCACAGGTGAACTGTACAGTATTCACAAAACTGCTGGAATCCATGTCTATAAGCCAATTGTTATACAACTTTTAATTCTGTTTTATCTCAGATAAAACAAAAGAGCTAGTTGTCGGGTGAAAACCGGTTAAACAATAGTTGGTCAGTCATTGTCAGTTATATCACTTAAACAATCTTGATTCTCCCACTGCACACTGCTTAAATTGTTTATGGAAGTTTGTTTTTAAGAAACAATGCATAAAAAATCATACGATACAGGTTTATTGCAGCAAGCATAGGCATTGTAAATCGTAATGACTTTAAAAGAGTACAAGAAGTGAACCAGACGGTTTGTACGTGTTGGTAAATGATATTAGAATGGTGAGTATACTGACTTGAGTTAACCACTGAATTTATGTCAGTTGGCTTCGAGGTTGATATTGATGAAACGAACCGTTATGTTAGCATATGTTTTTATAACACGTTTCACTATACATATTAACTATACAGTTCAGACGATAATCTCAGGTCTTTTAAAGTAAATCAGACTACTATCGATAAAATCCTTATGAAGTTTATTTGCAGCGAGTAGGGCGGTTTAAAAGACATTTATTTTCAATGATGAATCATCAGCTGAATATATAGTTCAATTGAACGAAACTCAAAGCTACACAAACTGCTCCAAATAATAAAGCATACTCCACTGAAATATCAAACTATGCAGCTTATTTGTCTTATAGTGGTGACTAATCACAGCTAGTGTCAATGTGTTTCAACTAACGATAGATATCTGAATAGAAGTTTTGATACTTGTAGCTCATACGTTGCTGTTATTTCACAGCTTTCCCACTTGATAATACCAATTTCGAGGTTCCTGGGGATTTACTGATTTTAAGTTGGTGTTCATCATGGATAAACACCAGTTGAAGAACCGCTGGAAACTTGTAAGCACTGGACAGGCGTTTACTTCTAGTATAGGACTTCTCAGCAGAGTGAATCTATCACTACACCAGGGACGGAACCTGGGACATTCACGTTTCGTAGCGAAAAAATTATCACTAAGCTACTGAGTTGAACTCTGATTGTTCTTTAACTGATATCAGTCCATGATGAGTAGCAACTTGAAATATATCAGCCCATATAAACCTAAGAACTGAGTAACCGGTTAGTGTGCATAAGTGACATATTCCAAGATGAGATTTCCTGAAGTTCGAATGAGAATTCGTTATCTGTGGGGTAAACCAAGTTGAATGTGAGGAAATATACTAAGCATTGACGCTGAATGAAAGTCACGCCATGTTGTGGATCGACATAAGCAGGATAGTATGGGCCAGTGGAACCGTGCTAGTGACTCAAAAGTACCATGCTCGTCAGGAAAACTGAAAGTCCTGCGTTCTGTCCTTAGAACGGTCATTGGTGCGTACTGCCAAGGCGTCCCTTACTTGGAAGGAACGCCTGTCCAGCTCTCGAACGTCCCGGTAGTTACCCAGTTGATATTTGGAGAAAATTGACTTGGTAAGACCAGCTGGCTCACTACTCACTGTCTTCCGTGTGGAATGTTCCCAACGCAAAGGTTAAGTAACTCATTGTCTATACGTTGGTATTGTTGTATCCACTGTGAAACAATATCACAGCATAATAATTTAGCTGAGTGGAACCCCTTCTTATGGCCTATGGTTTTGAACTGATGATCAGTTTACTAAGGCACATTCCCTCAGAAACAAGTAGCTGTTCATTACTACTGATTATAAAAACTAAAACTACTACCCAAAAACACGTTTTCACAGATTTCATTCTCTCAGAAATAAATAACTGTTCACTACTACTGATTATACACTATAACATTAGTACTCAAAAACTACAGTTTTCCTAGGTCACGTCACCGTAAAACAAAACTCGTAAAATTTACTTGGCTAAAAACAGATAAAGCTCAAGCAATATTAATAGACAGACACTAAGGTATCCATATGCATTAATAACTGAAGTTGCTTTGGGAAGATTTAACAGACCAATAGGGTTGTATATAACAACTTGATTACTTACAATTCAACGGATCCAAAGGGTTTAGTCGGCACTGACCAAAATCGTAATTCATATTGTATGCTTTTTGAACAAGTTCAATGCCGGCTTGACGAAGTTCTGGAGTTATCTGTTTACCGGTCCACAGGTACATTTCAGATCCGAAATCAAAAACGAATGCCTATGCATGAAACATAAAATATGGGCTCAGTAGAAATATCAAAGATAAGAATGTGTGGTTTTTAACAACCTAATTTCCTCTTTTTTATTTTGTAGATAGGCTTAATAACGACAAATATTCTTCCCCTAGCTGATCGGGACTTTAATTCATTCATCTTCATATGTATGTAAATCAAATCTTTGTGCCTAACTTTCAGTTCAGATGTCCCATCAGTATGCACAAAATGTTTCAGGCAATCCCTAATATTCATCTAGGGATGAAACCTGAAGTCAACACTTCGAGTACATATTAATCGAAAGTATAAACCCTTGATTTTACTTATATTCTTCAGTTATGAAGTCCCCAAAATTCGAAATATGTCAGTTCCTTACTAAACATTTATTAATTGACTTAAGATAACTGGGCAGTTTAAGTTGTTTAAGTGAAAACTATGCAGAAGTGGACAGCAATTTTGAGCAATCGGTGGTGATATATGAATTTATAGGATGCATTTTATGCCTATGGAAGATTAAATAGTTTTTTGCAAACTTATCTGTATACATATCAAAAATGTCCAGTGGTTGAGAAGAATAATTACCATATTTCGTCAAAAATACTCACCCAGGGGAGACACAAACTCTGTTAGTCTGATATACAGACATGATATCTAAACAACAATTAAAAGCTTGATAGAAAGGTTAGTAGTGATTCGCCTATTTCAAAGGTGTATTCTCCAACTGATATCAGTCTGTGATGAATAAACCCTAGACATTAGAATCTGGTTTACTGTTCTGTGTCACACCTGACACAAGATTTTGAGTAACAGAAGCAGAAGGCATAAATTGCTTCCAAGCACTTTCCATTAATAGGTAGTTTGCCGGCTGACAAGAAACCTTGAGGTTTGGTGACGTTTATTGATAGTCATGTGTTAGGCACATGTACTACTTAATTAACTCTGCAGGCTTTAGTATGTATGACAATAGTAGCAGAACCATGGCTTACATATTCAGGTGACCAAGCTAATGCTTGAAGTTGCCAAGACAAGCTTCTTAGCAGGACAGAACTTTTGATGTGTGTTCCTGAGAATATAAAATTCAATGGCTAAATACCTCGATGAAGTTGGTGCATGTCAACCCATACATGCATATGTCAAACGATTTGTTCTAAGATGCCTTTAGCTTCTTTTCATTCTTCATTAGGCATTAGGCATCATCTATGAAATCCAAATCTTCTTATGAGGTCATTTCATAGGTCAAACAGCGTAGGCCCCTCTTCTCGCTCCTCACAATTTTTGCATGATCCAGTTCAGTCCAGTCGACCGCATTCAGGAAGATCATGGGTGATAGTAGACGGCAGCCTTGTCTTACTACTGTCTTCTCGTTGCCATACACTATGAAACTGTCAGGCATTTGTTGGCAGATAGGCTACTTTTCGGACGCCTCTTTACCGCCGGATATTTATGATATTGTAACCATCTTGGTTGCCAGAAAAGGAACCTAAAACGCACGGCTCTGGAAATTACAACTAATACCCAGCAGCTGATATTCGTTACACAATAGGTAGCTCTTACGCGCTACTGGTCTAGTGAATAATGCCTTAACATTTGAAGAAAGTGATTCCGAGCTTGAGTCTCGGTGCGAACATCATTCGCTAGAATTCTGGTATATCTAGCTAACGAGCCCAGAGTAGGATGAAGCATGTGTCCTTGATTACAATGCTAGTTACCTAAGATGAATACTGAATCAATGGATCGATTCGTTCTATTCAGGGATGCCTATTTCTGTAACTGCATGCAGTCATATGTGTCATTACAACAAACGCAATAGCCTACGCTCATCAAGACGTATTCAAAACGATGACATTTTTTCGTGGTTGTACAAATAAATGTTTACTTGATTAGTTCTGTGATGCCATAAATATATATCTGTTATCATTATGCATTTCAAAATCAAGTACCTTCACCCCATAGCGCATAGTTGTTATCTTATTATACAAACGGTAAATTATTTAACCTGAATAGTAGTAGATGAACATGAAATGACAAAGATTATCACGTGGTTAACACGGTCAAAATAATCAATACATATTGCATTGCTAAAATTCAAGTCATTTATTGAAAATTCTCGTTTTTTTTCAACAGTCCTGTTTACGCTTTCGTTGTATAACACTCTCAAGTTTAATTTCTAAACTAGAGAAAATAAGGCTTAAAGTATAACTAGTCGAAAGCATAGTATGCATCACTGGTGTTTAACAATGAATTTTATCAATGGTTGACCTATGAATCAATTAAAAACCAACATAATCATGAATTCAAAGTTGTTTGAAGTACTCAGGTATCCAGAAAACGAAAACCATGAGTCCACAGTCTTGATAACAGTTAGTTAAATGAAGGATTCTTTATGGTAGTGACCATAAAAGTCACCTTGGCAACTAACCCTGTTTTAACAACTACCAAAGTAGCCATTTAGGTTCAGTAGTTGTTATAGTACCTTTTAGAGCCAAATAGCATAAAAGACAGTTCCAGCGCATACACCTATCACAGTTACAGTTTGTGAAACTATCCCCTTATGGATTGTTTTAGTCATAACAGGAGCTGACTGTTAACAAGTACTGCTAAACAACTAACTACTGACTAGGTTAATGAAGTCCCTCGATGTCAGTCTTCCCCTTAAAGAGGTTTTAATGAAACATTACAAATCACTGGCAGACAATAAGAGCAGCCTTCCAACCCTGGCTGTCTCAGATAGTCTTTTTGTATGTGAAACTATCTGTTATAACTGTTATAACAGAATCTGCGAACAGAGAAAGGGGATACAGCATAAGTGTGCTCAGTGTTATGTCGTCAGTTCACTGCAGCTGCATGCCTTGACTTCTACGCACGTATTAATCAAAGGAAAATTTACCTGGTGGTGGCTATCATTGGATTTTAGGACACATGTTTCGTCCTAATCAGGACTTGTTACCTGGATATACCTCCACCTCAGTGAGCGATATTGTTTCCACTAAAACTGGAACTCAAAGCCGATCACTTCAGAAGCCAATGCATTATCCGCTAGGTCATTAGGGTATCAGAGTCACCTCTTGTGCAGCACATATCAATTATTGTTATTTACTGATACTTGTGATTTCTCGTTGTTATTGCAGATCAAATTGTTCGGTCTCTGTTAACATTTGGGCTCTTAAAAGAACACTCAAAATAAGAAGAGATACACATCTTGGAATCTACTACTAGGCAAATTAGAACATAGTTAATAATCAGGCTATATGGAGCCATCCGCGTGGGAGCCTGTGTGCTAACACGGGTCGATCAATTCAGTCCACTATTACAACGAGACATTACTAGTACCCATAAATAATTGGTGTAATCAATAGAAGTTTTTTAGTTATTTAGTGTTCTCGAAGCCTTATCATTTGACAGTAAACCTTTTGGTGTTAAACTGAGTTACATTATCAGCAGCTGATTAGTGGAGAAGTCCTCAGCATTAAAAATAGTTTCTACATTTGGAATTTCAATTTCTTTTATGAACTATATCATGAAGAAATTACTATAGAATATTCTCATGGTGCTGTGTAAAATTCCATTTTTCTACAGGTCGGTCACGCAATGTTTTATTTGTTGTTTTTTAGGTAGGGTTTTTAAGTGTTCAGCTGATACAGTGAAGTAAAACATTCCATGATTTACAAAAGAGTGTACTAAGTGATGAATAAAGCCATTAATTTACTTGTACTTTTGTGTAAGAATTTCGTTGGGTTGTTCATTTCTTTACTAAGTGGGATACACACACCTCTAGGATTAATTGTACATTTTTATGATGAAACTTGTCAACATAGGAATAAACTCAGAGGAGAAATATATCCAGACGTACAGGGTTCCTATTTATGCAGCTTAAACAAGAATGGTTTTACAATCTATCCAAGTATAACAGTGTCCCAACCACATTAGTTCGTTTAGCTGGAGTTAAAAATCAATAAGGCGGATGATTTTTTTAAAAACCGTAGGTAACTATTCAATTATTGTGATAGGTTATACATTAGTTACATAACAAACCTGATCTGATTGTAAGAGTTTATACTTTACTGGACTTCCCCAATACTCTTCACATGGGACTAATTGATTCGGAGTGACACGATACACCCGATTGGTATGCTGAACCATTAATTCATAACGTTCATCTTCTTCAGGTGGTCCAGCGGCTGAAAGATAAAATTTAACCGATAAAATAGTCACCATTCAAATAAAAGGAAAACAATTTTTTAATAACTTTATAATGAACTCTGAAACTTATCAAAGCCAACTAACCAAAATGAAAAAGTTCAAAGTTTAATGTTACTAGCTTTCGTTAGAAAGTCGACTATAACTTTTTTAACAAAAATGAAATACATAAAATCAGGAAGATAGATAGTGAAGGTGAATGGTAATTTAAAATCTATTCACAAGTTGACAAATATCCAAAATTTACATTCTGATTGACAGCAAAATATTTGTAAACTTGAAATGGTACCAAACTACATTTAATAATTATAATCGCTTTATTCTAAACAATATGTATGACAGTATGAAGTTCTCAGCATGTAATTTTTCAACAAATTCACTCCTAGAACAATACTTTCAGACGAAACAGTTATTGCATAAGAAACATGTTAATAATAACAGTATTCAAGGCAATGATGTGAAATAGCAAAGTGATTCTGACTTGGCTTCTGGTTCATAATGAAGAATCAACAGAAGTGTAAGCATAATTTTGGTGTTGGGGGTTCATTCAGCTGGTACAAATATCTGAAAATCAAGCTAAGCATCTGACGGATAGAAATATGATATACTTTTTTGCACTGGAAAGTCAATTTCCATATTACGTAACACTTTTTTCCCTGTTCTGTTATTGATTCAAGAAACGGAGAGTTGTATACAGTTTAAAAATGTCTTAGAGTACATGATATGTTCAAAAGACATATTTAACTGATTAAAACAAACTGAAAAGTGAGAATTCGATGGAAAATGTTCGATGGATAAATTTGGTAGGTCAAGGTTCAAGCAGGGCGTTGTGATATTAACAGGAGACGAATATCTTATAGTTCTATCCATTTATAATATCTACCATAATTATACAGGTGACAGTTGTAGACAAGTTAAACTTGGTTAAATTAATCAGCATAGATATCCAAAAACCGAAGCAATTAAAAAAATCATGCACGCTGCCTACTAATTTTCAACCTAAGTATTAGTAGTAGTAATGGTAGAAAAGACCTGCAAATTAAACCTTTTTTTTGGTTATCATATCCAGGTTCTTTGCATTGATCTACTTCATTCTGTTCACTTTTTTTTCAGACATTACCATATGCCTCAAACAAATGTTACATAATTCATATTGAACGCAAAATTTACATTGACAGTATTTTTACCTAACCTGGATAAATTCTAGATATGACTATGAATATACATTTTCACATATGAGAAAAATTCGCAAAATAATTTATTCACAAATAGTTTATAACATAATATTTATCATTCTATACGAATTTCTTGAGTAACAGTGACATCTTGCTTCTCTATCCATTTCGGTTAGAAAGTGAATAATTATGACACCAATAATGATGTAATAGTATTTCATAGGACACAGAAGACAGTGGATGATAGCTAACATCAAACAAATCCTCATGAGTTTTTCTGGAGTATTTCAAATGTTGAAATGACCAGTAAAATTAACAGATCGGTGTGAAAAAGTTTACTTGTATTCATATTTTCAAGAGATTTCCAATGTAACCTATTACTCCAAAATAGTTGTAATAACGAAAAGCTACTTAACCATATTAAATATTAACATGAAATGTACAGTCAAGTAGTTGTTGAAAAAAGTTAGTCATTCATTTTATAATGTACAGAAAAACTCAATTATTTCTCGAGATTTTGTTCATTGAAACATTGTAAGTTGTATTTATTGATATATACAGTGCCATTAAGTTAGACTATGAACAAGCAAAATAGTCACATGAATTATCTGTTGAAGTTTACTGTCTAGCTTAAGTGGTTTCCAGACAGCAGAGTTATTTACTAGTGAAGTACTTTGTATTCTAGCCAGTAAACTTTATTTCCAACACTGTAAAACCTGATAGATGAAGGTCAACTGGCAACAATTAATAGAACACTGAATCAGTTACTATTTTGTGAACAGATGGTATTTGATATTTACCTATTCAATACAACTAATATCATTTATACGTTTCTTTATTTTACTAGTTCAGAGCTCAGTTTATTTTCACTACTCCTGACAGAAATATACACCAGTATTGATGAAAGGTTTTGGTCTACACTCTATCTGTAATATTAAGAAATGTTAGTTGGCTATCAATATTGGCCTTATGAAGTACTATATAATGAATAATTTGCATTTCATTGAAAGAAATGGAGTAGACTAAAGTTTCAAGATCTGCGCGATTAACTGCAGATCTATGCTTAGAATAGCCAGCTGTTGAAAAATCGGTGATAAAATAACAAAACTCCCAGCACACTTAACACTTATTATCCTGGTCCTGAGCTAAAAATCTTTGCTGCTACTTCAATCAAGCATGGTGTTTGATAGATTTGTTCTGTACTAGTATAAAGCAAATACATTAGGCCTTAATTGAAACTAAGAGTGAATAAGTATATTGTTCACTCCATCACTACTGTGATAACTGCTTGAAGATTGACTCAAATCACAGCTCTGTCAGGTTGTTGAACAACAAATGCGCCAACTTCTTAAGGAACTAGTAGGATACTATGTTACGCGTTAGTTTTGATAAAAGCCGGAAATGAACTGAACATTTATTAGAGCAGTTCATAACGGATGTTAAATCTCTGTCTCGGTAATAATGAGAAGGTATAGAACGTCGGATATTTAGTATATACAATATGTATGCATTCTTTGACACAAAAGAATTAGTAATCTGTCGGGAAGAAAAAATCTTTGAAGTTCTCCGTCAAATCTCAAAACAAAACAAAACTTTTTCTTTTACTCACCATGAACCATTTGTGGGGAATCATATCCAAGTATTTTCCAGAACTTTAGAGTTGCAGAGAATGATCGATTTACACCATCACTGATTACTATATAACCTTCAGTATCCAAATCTTCATTGTCTCCATAAGAAGATGCATTTTCATAAACTGATAAGTAACCATCACCTAAAATCTGTGCCGCTTCACTGAGACTTCCATGGTAGCATAATTCATGCTTTTTGTAAATCCATGATGCCAACTCTCGAGTTTTATTTACTTCAACAATATTGGCGGATCCACCGAACCAAGCAAGCACTGCACTGGTAGTGACAAGAATAAAGCAATCACCTGAATTCATAGATTTTGCCGATGGAGCAACTAACCGAACCTGAACATGTCGCCGACCTTGAGTTGAAAACAAACAAAAATATGGAACTATTATCAGCTATCATCTTTCAACATGCCAGTTAATTGAATAATGTATCGAATAATTTTGTCCTGATGTACCACTGAGAGATGGGACCATAAAAATGTGTACATCCCAACAATGAGAAACAATCTCATTTTACACCAAGACTTAGGTGAATATGGAAAAACGTTACTAGTAAGTTTGTCACTTACAGACGTCTGCTCATCACAGAAACTGCAGTCTACCTATAGTATTATTATTTGTGTCATTTAGTAAATCAAGCGAAATGTTTTTATGAGGTATTTACGTTCCAGTCTATTTATTTCAGAGGTCATCTAATAGACATTAACTATGAACAAGCTTTGATCGCTTATGTAGGTCTGAACTTGAGTTAGAACCATGAGTTAGAAAAATAAGTTGGCATAAAAGTTAGCAAAATTAATTTCGACTTCGTCTCATAGTCTCATATAATTACACAAAACACTATTCAAATCATGAAAGAAAATTAATGTATTCATCTTTGAGCGAAACAACCACCTTCATTGAAGTTATTGACTTAAAATACCTAAGTCTCTTGAAATTACGGATTTCGCCCACTATTTCTCGAAAGCAACATGTTTGTGTGATACATTCACAAGTTTGGATTCGATTTTCAATGCGTAGTTTACTTTTCATTTTTGATATGAGTAGGATACTTTGCGAGTTGTGGATGTGTATGGTACGAGGCTGATTTTAAATTGTTACGCAAGTATTACTACGCACTGTTTGAATATTCTCTGTTGCCTAAGGTAAGCTTGGGGGTTGCTGGGCCGAAACTCAACAGATCTATAAATTATAAGTCTGTTTATCTCACATAGGTGAAGAAAAACAGGCTGTCCAGTTGATATCTTCATGATATCTAGGGTTGATGGTTGTCTAGCGCGGAAAGAAAATAGAAGCAGTCAAAATGCATATGATAAGCTCTGCGCAGTTTTAGAAAACTTGCGATTGTTGAATCAGCAACATCAAGTTGTACTGAGTCCTGAATAGGTCACTGATGACGTTTGCGACTGCAGCACTAGATAACTTGGATTAGAATCTCCCAGAAAACATCAGTTCCCTCAAGGCTATAGATGCTCCTTGCTGATGACTGCCAACAAATACAGAACTTATGTCAGATAGCGCTTCTTGTCAATTGCCCCCAACCCCTTTATATGCACCAAAGTGCACCGTCTTGCTGAGTCTCCTAGCTTGGCAGTCACACTGCTAACTTATCGACGAAATTTGATGAACTAGAAACACTGTGTTCAATTACGTACGAATATCAATCAGTGTATGTTAGCCATTCCTACCGAAAGTCAATCGCCTCCCAAAAAGCTAAGTAGTAACATCGCTGACTTCAGCATTGGGTTATTCGGGCTGGAACTTCACTAATAAGTGGTGAAGTAAACTAGCACTTCTCAAAAAGAAGCATAAAATTAGAATGTATATCTAGGAAATATCTAGGAAAATATTCATTTTAAGTCGAAAGAACTTCAGGTACTTAAAAATGCTTTTAAATATTATGGCATTGCAACAGACAAGTGAAATATGTATCTTGTAATTGCTAATGCATTTCTTAAATGCTTTCGCCTATGCTTTACAAAAATCGATGTTTCATTTTGGCAAGGTGATTTCATTTATAATCATGTTTCTCATCAAAGAAGTGGAATGATTCCTAAGCATCTTTTCCCAAAATTCATAAAATCATACGATACAACTCTCTAACATGAAAAATTTTCAAATCATGTATAGATCATATTCTAACTTCGTAACAATTACACCTCTTATTCTTCAGTAAGCCTGTGGGTTGTATTATACCTCGAAGAGGTGCAGTACACTCTTAATGTATGCTGTTACCACATAGCACCTCTCTACCTCAGTTTGGCCTTGTTTTCCGAAGGTCATTGGGAATACTATACTTCACTTTCTAGGATGCAAGTGCACCCAGTTGAAGAATTCTAAATAGAACGAAACGCACATCTTGGGTTCGACTGATGGTCGCAATCTGTCCTTGATAACGAAAACGTACATAGGTCAACGAAAAGGTTCGTTTCGACAACGCTATTTTCGAAGCTGTATATTCGCAACAGACAGATGAAAACGGTTTGAATGCTGGAATACCAACTGTATATCTGAAATATTTACTGCCAGAATGTACCTTCAGTGAGTGGAAGTTTCTTTCATGGTCAGGTGACTATGTGATGAACTGAAGTCAATATTCGGTTATTCTTAACTGTACAGAGTGTATGTGGATGATGCTTTTGTATGAAAGATGTGACCTGAATAGCGTACCACACTTATTCACTGCTTATTAAGTAATCAAATTTACTTTCTTCATACAAACCTAACATAGAAAGCTAAAGCGATATTGATGAGGTAGATTTCGAGGAAATTCATATGAAATGGTCAAGCGTTTAACAATTAGGTGCCTGGTGATGGTAAACGAAACTGAATTATAGTCACCTATAAAGATATCTACATTATTTTCATTTATGATGAACTAGAAGAAAAGAATAGAAATCCCAAAAAAGGATGTGCATTCCATTTCACAGATGAAACCACCAAACCAAAACCTCAGATGAATTACATCACTCCTATTTTGAGAAAGATGCTGTATACAAATCCTGATTTCAAAGCTGATTTGGTTGGTGAAATCGTACAGAGTAGGCTTTCAAAGTAACACTGATAATGGTGCACAACAGTCACCTGGTATTTGTCTACAATCTCAAGGATATGGTCTTATATGTGGCTGCATGTAAGTATGTTTTCGAGTTACTATGCTGCTCTGAAGCCACATATTTCTATCATTCCATACGGATCCAATTCGAAGCGATTCAAGAATTCTACTAGGTGTAGTCTAGAAGGTATGATAGTGCGTCACTTGGAATAATTTATCACCTTGTCAGCACTAACCATTCAGTCTATACGGTTTCATCTTTCAGAATAAAAAATGAATTGCAAAATGCAGTATGTCGTCACCTCCTTTGCAAGCCTGGATCTGTAGCTATCCATTTGCATACTTTATGAGAATCTTCACCTTTTATATTTTTAACCATCAGGTTTTAAAATAACCGCTTCTTTTCATTCTCTCATTTTGTTATCAGCCAATAGCCACTGCCTTGTTGCTTTAAGTACAGTTCATCCCCCAAGCAAATGTCACGGTGTCTATTTATTTGTGCTGGTTTGATAATCTTTATTTACTTTTCAAGGAACTGTGATTATTATCTGCTAATCTTGGAAACTTTTGGTATTCTTAGGCTATTAGAAATTATCTTTGATATTACCATATTTTTAAGCCGAAATGCAATCGTGAATATACTACACAATGAAGATTATAGTGATTGGTAGCTTGAAACTAACCAATTTCATGGTGTCTAATCTTCAGTATTAGTTGAATTTATTCAATCATCTAGAACTGTGGTTACCTGAGTATAAGACAACATGATGAGGCACTTTGATAGGTACCAGTTGGGTGAAGCCAATCACCAGAATCCCTTACCTGATCTTGACTTTGTGCATGTTGGCAGCTGTCAACAAGGTGCATGCGTAGCTGCCACGGAACTAAACAGCTTAGTGATAACCTACTTGACTGTTGCACCAGATGACAAGACTTCGAATCTCACAGGGGCTATCATTCCTCTCACTTTGCTGAAGGGTGCCAAGAAGCACGAAAAATCAGTCGACCAGAGCTTCGTATCTATTATCGTAAACCATCAAATTGCAATGAATATTTTACCTGTGGAAGTTGTATTTAAGAGCGGATGTACAGCTTAGAGAATAGTATCACCGAAAACAACCTCTTTGCTAAACCACTGGTTTTTTCTTATTTGTATTAATACTGTTTTTAGCGCTCGCTGTACAAGTTTTCATATTAGTATAAACTTCGTTATTTTATCAGGAAGAAATTTCAACTTATTAGCTAATAAATAAAAAGGCCAAGTTTCAGTTATTCGATAATAATTCCACTTAAGTTCAATCTAAATTTACCTTTAATGTGTAACAGCATAGGTGATTTATAGGGTAAAAGTTGTCGTGCAGTTGTAGAAATACCAAACGATGGTCTATCCTGAACTGAACGTAAATTACTCTTCGCCCCGTTTATATCTTCAGTGCTAGTTAAACCCGCTTTAGCTGACTCAGCAAGAACTGCACTCCTTACAGCAGAATCTGTGAAATAAAAATTTAAAAAACGAGATGGATTAGCATTAAAGTCGAAACAGAACGTAGATTTAAAAACAGTCATTTAATTTTTATCTAATTTATCAGTACACTGAAGTATAACAAGAAATTAATAAAAAGCAGATGACCAGAAGTAATGGTTGTAACTTCTCAACTAATTATATCTTATCTATGAGAATGACAGTGATTTAGCAACAATGACCAAGTTTTCTGGAATCTCTAAAAAAGGTATCAAATCACTGATGAACACTTTATTTGGATTCACTGAAACCCGCTGAATAATAATACGTTGAAGCGTTAACTTGTACAAGCAAGTAAACTAGGAAGTGTCACCCACTCTACTTCAACATCCCACTGTATCAGTAAGCCTAACTATTTAATCTTATGCCAAAGGATTAAAAAGGTCTTGGTTGTTTACGTTCTCTGAGCCGGATTGCTTAGTCGTGGAGCTTTCATCGTCATTCCAGACGACATCATCAACACTAACTTCAGTATGAAGTGAGCTGTCAATATCTCTCCATCACTGATTTAGTAGCTTGCCCTGAAAAACTGCATTGTGTTTGGTTGTTTCCTCTGATTGTTGTATCATCGACTGTATAGATTTTCCTATCGCCTGTTCCCTCCTTCACCTCTCACTTTTCAGTCATTTATCACTTTCCTCATTGATTGCCGACTGGCCTAGAAGCCAAGATTCTAGATATTCTCTGGTATTCTCTGTGTTTCCTGTGTCCACGATTTCTTCATCATCAAAATTGAATTCATGTCCACAGTTGTTATCTACATGCATTGAAATGAGTGATGAAATGTCATGATGTTTATCGTTAATTGGCGTTCATGTAGATGAGGGTGAAGAGGGCGACCAGTTTGTCCAATATAGTGTTGACTGCAATTATTGCAGTTAATTTTGTAAATGATTCTCTGTTTATCTTCTCTGACTGTTGCATCATTTGGTCTGCAGAATAGTGGTTGCGGGGAATTTTTTTGGTTCATGAGCCACACCAATTCCAAGTGGTCTCAGTAATCTTGTCGTGATTTCTGATATATTCCTAATGCATGTTAGGATGATGTGTTTGTTGATTTCTGTCGTTGGCTTTGTAGCTGATGTTGTATGGGATAGCCATCTTCTGATAAAGTTTCGTGGGTAGCCGTTCTTCTTTAGGATGGACGTCAAGTAATTTCCTTCGTTTCTCCATGAAGTTGCTATACTGCGGTGTATTCTCACTCTTTTGAATAGAGTCTGCATGCAACTGATTTCATGCATTGCTGGGTTGTTGTCACTGTAATTGAGGATTTGATCAGTGTGTAATGGTTTCCTGTACACTTGGGTTTCCAGCTTCCCCGTATTTGTCCTATTGACCAGAACATCCAGGAATGGTAGTTGGTTGTTTGAATTTTTCCCCATTGTGAATTTGATGTCATTGAAAAGGTTGTTGATCAAACTGTGAGTGTTTTCTATATCACCCTTTTAATGATGAAAAAAGTGTTGTCCACATAGGGAATCCAAATTTTTGGTTTAGTCACTGGTAGAATGATGGCTTCCAGTCTCAGTATCACTGCTTCTTCAATTAATCCAGACATCAGTGATCCCATTGGAGTTCCTTCCATCTATTTGTATATCTTGCCACTGAACTGAAAGTATGTTGTCAGTCAGAAGTTGATGAGTTCCACCAGACTTGAATATCAAAATTTTGTGCGTCCTGAAAGGTTTATGCCTTCATTACGCAAGAGGTAATAGTTTCCTCGGCCATTCTGCGTTCGATGGATGTGTATAGTGCTGTGATATCGAAGGATACCACTGAAGACTGTTTTCAACACATATAGCTAATTCTGACAACCTTTTTTCGTATTATAACCTGTTCCATTGGTGGCTACCATAAGCGGAAATGAGCTGGACACTGTACGATTGCCTTCAACTAGTTAGTAATTTTCCCTTGAAGTTTACTGAATACAAAAATGCATATTTCGACTTTTTGGGGACTCATGAGATAGATATGAACGCCTTTAAATGCAAATGTCTCTCCTGAGATCCAAACCTGTCATACATAGCTTTAGACATCAGGATGTTACCCGCTAGGCAGCTTTTACGCTTGAAATTCTGTGTTGTAGGTATGCTTTCATATTATGACTTGTTACCTCTCTTTGGTGATTGGTTAAGACCAAACTGATCGCATGACTGACATCACATTACCGCATATCATTCATGCTTATTATCGAAAGCCTTTTAAATTTTTATTTCACTCGTACCAGGTGAAGCATAAACATGTTGAAGCAATCGTCATATTTATTTACTTACACAAATGGAATTACTACATTCTGGAAAGATAGAAGTAGAACAACTAAGCATGATACTGATGTGGATCAGTATGAATTTCAAACAGAGAATATAAACTGTCATAAATTTCCTTTTATATTGTGCTTTACTTTTAAAATCGTGTAAAACATAAAAGTTAGGATGTGGATCACCTGATCCTAAAATGAAGCTTATCATGGACACATTCCCTTTTAACAGTAATATACAACTTCTTTTGCTTAAACTGTTTCAAAATGTGACATCTGCAACCTTTACCAACTAATTCTGTGAATTCTTTATTGTCCCAAATAGATGATTATGTACCAGGTCTGTTAAACAAGCAACATTTCAGCTGGAACTACTCAGGTATGGATTTGATTTCTACTTAATATTTCTCTGAACTTCTAGTCTTTTCGGCAGCCCAAATGGAATGTCATTAAGGTATTTATAGGGAAGTCTCTAGACGAGATCGAAAAATAAGATTTCAGATACAAAGGTGTTACGAACTAACGAACAATGTGTAAATAATTTGCAAGATAATCACAGCTTCATCTGAGTCAGCCAGCCTGGTCCAGTTAATCTCTTTGAATTATATATCAGTAAGAAATTAGGTACGGCTATATTAACACCTCAGAAATGATGTGTCAACTGATGAATTTCGAACAAAGCGTGTTTTTCGGGATATTTTTCTTAGTCTCTCTCTAGAACAAGAGATAAAATAAGGCTTAGGTAGGTAGCTGGTGTCATGTGTATTGCCGAAATACTCCACTACAAAACCTCACGTAACCAATAAACAGACATATTAACACTGTAATGAGGTTAAGGTAGTGAATGTGAAATAGCTTTAAGTTAGTATTCAGCACTAACTGACATCCTTTTGGGAACCAATGAAAACTTTCCACAAATGGACAGCCATTTTGTCCTAGTGTGGGACTCTTCAGCATTGTGGAACCACAACCCCCCCCAGGGCTCGAACTTAAAGGCCTTCATGTCCCTACGCAAACGCGTCTGTCATTCAGCAATTGGGTCGGGGCTCAGTGTTTTAGAGTTTCCACCATGGTCTTCAGCTGGCATGCACTTCACTTCTATCTAGTTGTGAGTGCGTGTTGTTGAGAAGTCCCATACAAGGACATAACATATGTCCAGTGGTGGCAGGTCCTCAATCGTTCTCCAATTGATATCAGCCTGTGCTGAATGCTACTTTAAAGCCTAAAGTCCATAAAAGCCTGGAAAACACTTTTTTTCTCATTTACAGCTATGATAATCTTAACTAAATCAAACTTTCCCATTCTAATTGTACATTCTAAATGCCTAACTGTGAAACTTCACTCCAGTCCTTCTAAGATCATCATCTAGTTTGACAAGCGCCATTATTTCTGTTGACTTCATAAGAAAAAATCTGAATTTGAGATGAGAGTTTTATGAAGTCCCTCCTGAAGAAGTTGGTTTCCGACGTCCCCAGTCCTCTCTGCAATATCATTCAGTAGCCATCATTATATTCTACAAAACTGATAACACTTAGGGATTTCAAGTGTGTTATATTTTTTAGTAAGGAAGTGAAACACCTATCATCTAGAAGTATAAAGAAGTTAACATAATGTCATTAGATGTATATGTCAACACACGGAAGAACGCTTGAACACGTCGGTTTTCATTATCTTGTCATTTCTTAACAAGCTGAGTGTCGCCACGTTTGAAGATATTGTATGATAGTAAGTAAATATGCTCTTCAACTACGAAAGTTAAAACTTTCAACAAAACAAAAAATCAAGGCATCAATGGATAATACTTGTACTCAACTAATTCAGTGGATTTTTCAGATTGTTTTTGCTCTTACTTCTAGTCAGATAATGTTACCGTTAGACCGCATAGCATAAAAGAATTCGGATCAATTCAGCTTTAGTGAATTATTCTTTCATTTTATAAACTGCCGACTTAGATAGGATGAATTAATTACTGTAAAATACTTTTTACAAAACCTCTAATGGTATGTTAGTTGGATAAAAAAAATATTCTAGTTATTGTTTTCGCATACCTTCTAAATTATCCTCAGCCCATCGACCATGTCTATAAACTTCAGATGTATACATTCAGCTGTTCAGATTACTTTGCTAGAACAATCTCTTTTAATGTCTAACAGGTAAGCAGTAGATTTTCGACTACTGCCATGGATAATCTTAGTTAGTGTTGCTCAAATATCTGTCTTTAAGGCTGATTGGCTAGCTAAATAATATACTTTTGCTGCATTCATATTTCTACTCAAGTGTAATCGGAGGAAAACGTTTGGAAGATGATACCAAAACAAACTTAGCTAGGTGATGAAGGAGGTGCGACAACTTCATAATCAGTGGTATGCTTCTGTCAAAACAGGGTTGCTGGTTCATAAAAGTTGGACAACTCCAGAGGAATACAAACAGCTAAACCTTTCCTAGCAACAATGAACACCAATCCATAATTTCAGTATCACTGATGGACAATAGCCGGCAGTGAAATGCAGAAGGCACGTTTCGTCGTATTTAGGATTCGTCGGACGAATGTACCTCCTTTTCAATGAGTGACCATTATGACTGAAACCCAAAACCAAACACTTCAAAATCCGAACCGTTATCCAATGGGTCGGTGGTCATGATAGTCAGCTACTGTGCACATTGATCCTATAGTATTAATGCAATAGCTGGTGGACCTCCATTCAGTCAGCCAATGTTTGATCATCGATATTCACTCCCAATGAATTCCTTCAACTTCATGACTATTAGTATATCAGTACTAAGATATAGGTAGTCTAACTTAGCAGGAGGATATTACGTAGCAAAAATGACTATCAATTCTATAGCTGCTTAAAAGTATCCAATGACCAGTCGTTAAAAATAACATAAGCTGTGCTTGTAAAATGCAAGAATACACTACTTTGTGCCTCCTAGAATCCATTCAAACAATAGCAAAGAAAACATTCAGTTCTATTTAGGCCAGTTACTAATTATACGCTGCATATACTTTTCAAATGCTGATTGCACGTTTAGAAATTTAAGGCTTACTGACTTTGTCTGAACAATATCAGGTAACATTTTAAAATATGTAACAGATATCGAGTTTCAGTTATTCGCTGAGTTGAGAATATGCTTAGCTAATGTTTCAGTTTTGTGTTAGATATCTTTGTCAGTGCATCATTGTTTCACAGTTAACCGATTAGGCACGATCAGAAATATTTTCCTGCATAATCAGTCTACTTTAATGCAACCACGTGACTGCCTTCACCCCAGTGCATAGTTATTTTGAAAAGACATGAATAACTTTTCTACTAACCCAGAAATAATGTAGGCAGCTGAAGTAACAAATGTTAGATGATTATCAAAAACCGAACCCGTTGGGGTGGTTAACTGTCAGTTTTTGAATCTACGACATACTTTGGGGACTACTACTGATGATACTGTTGGATTGCTAGACGCTGTTAGTAATTTCCAACTCAGTGATCCCCATAATTACGACACATTTGCTGTCCGAGAGAAATTCCTTTCGAAATTTAAAACCTGTTTCTTTACACTGAAAACCTAAGACATTATTTTGAGCTACTTCGACTCCAAATTATGCTGTACATAAGAGTGGATCACAGTACAACGAGCTGCGAAATACAAAGACGTATTTGTTACTTTTAAACCCTCACACCTCTTACAACAACTAAAGCGTATCTTTAAAAGCCTAGGATTCGAATGGACTGTAAATCCGAAGGATCTACATTTCTCTACTTATCGTCTGTAGTGGTTCGCCTTATCAAGTGGACTTCAGGCCAAATAAATAATCTTCATTTACTCAATATCTTGAAACAGTATATTCAGTAACAAAAAAAATAACTTACCTAGTCCAATTCTCACAGCTGGATCCACTGAGCGTGACAACATCTGGAAAGGTGTAATATTCACACTGGAGGGTTGTTCCTTTGTTGTAGTTAGGCATATTTCTTCATAATTCGATTTTATGTTTTCTCTTTGTTTCAAGGCTTTTAGAGGATTTTTCAAGTCTTTGGGAGGTTTACGTTTTTCTGGTCTAGCTGCACATCGTGCATCGGCTATCCTATAGAATGCAAAAATAACACAACAGCATAAACTGTGTGGTTATAGTAGTTTGAAAAGTTACTTAAATATATGCATTTGAGTAATTATCACTGCTTATGTAAATGTCTGAATGGTTTGTATGTAAACAGCCAGGTAACAGACTTCAGTTCTACTGACATTCACTAAGGGGTCACTTTCAGTCGGTAAAGTTACTGCCTCTAATAAAGAACTTTTGGAATTCTGATCACTACCATTTACCGGATTCATGAAGCACAATCAAAGCGATCCCATAATCAAAGAGATACCGGTAACGTTACGCTATGTAGGTGAATGCAACTTGATTATTGAGGATCGTGGGTAGCTGACAGAACGCTGATGAAATGTAATCACTTCTGAGTAATACAAACCTCTTCAGCTAAAATAGTGTACGCACTACACAACCAGTCAATCTATCCCCCCATCAAGAAAGTCAGTCCCAGTGAATGCATTTTGACGTGTTACACAATACGTATAAAAAGGATATCTGGTACTTGAACGACAGCAGTCACTTGGCAGTTGGTACAAGCTTTCAAAAAAATGAAACTGGCCATATGCATAACAAAAAATGGGGAAATTTTCAGTCCCTGATACATTTGATTACAATAACTGCAAGGAAATCATTTAAGCTAAATCTTACCTTGGTTGATTAAGATATATTCAGGTTAGTATTAGTCGGTGTAAGCCATTAAAATGTTAAAATTTCTTGAAGACTACACTGCTTACCTTTCGTAAACAGTCTTCAATTCTTCATTTGGTTGTGAAGTGAGAGCTGGTAGGTTCAGTGATGCTGGCTGATCGGAAGATTCCAAAACTGATGTGCTCTTGAAGAAGTCTGTCAATGCTTTGTCTTGTTGAGCAGGTACTTGAACATTTTGTGAAATCCTTGATGTCTAGAAGAACAATAAATCACATAAAAAAGGTGATGCACTTATTCGGTAATTTAGTTAGGGTAATATTAAGGTTTAGTAAAAGTTATGTCAACAATACGGTTGACTAACTAGGAGATAAATTTCAAGAATTTTATTCGGATAATTTAGACCTGAAGTTAAATGTGCATGACTGAACACTGGAGTAAATATAACCTTCAAAGAATTAAATCTTCGACCGTTAAAGTTGACCAATGAAAAGTCGAGATCACATTCCAGCACATATATATTGTATTGTTTACATCTTCGGTAAAAATTAGGCGCTACTTTTTGACTTAATAAATAAACTCTTACATGTTTAAGTAAATCACTTGCCGCGTAAACTGTCCTTGAAGCTCGGCTGATGAATCTTTGAAAGGTATCTACATGCCTTAGTCTTAATCTAAGCTCTTTTATAGTCAACTAGTTTTCTCATTGTATGAGCAAGATTTCAACTGGATCTTATTTAATGAACACCATACATTAGTGTCCAGACCAGTACCACCTAGCACAGATAGCCTCTAGTTATTGGTTAGATTGACTCTCACGTATCATATAGTATTTAAAGTGTGTATTTACTATAGAACAAAGGAGATTGCAAGCTGTAAATCAAGTTACGTAATAGACCTATGAATCAGGAATTACTGACTTGTATGACAGACAGTAAGACAAAACTATTTATTTCCAAAAATCTTTGATCGGTAAAACATTTCACACTCATATCACCCACTGAGCCAAAAAGGATTACAACTTCAAAGATGATTTTCGGGAAAAACAGTTAAAATCTTACCTGTTTGGCAAGTGGACTCGGTTTGGTCATCATTGGACCGTCAAGAGAGGTTGTACGAGCAACTGCTGCCGGATGTCTGGATTCTTAAATAAAAATAACATGAATGTTTAGCATAAGTTGTGGTTTAGTTTGTGAAAGCCAAACAAATACTGTATTTATCACCTGAGAGACATATATGGAATTATGAATCTTTCAAATAATCACAGTTTTCTGAATATTGGTAGCAATTGGCCAGTCTAGAAATACTTAAACCAATATGTGGTAACATATACATACCAATATACGCTGATTTTACACCCCTTTAGATATTTAGTCACCTGAAGGTATCAGGATAGCGTCTATTTTGACCTACAGGGGAATGACTGTTAACTGAAAACTCCCTAATAGAGCTACACCTCTAAAATATACATTCAACAGCAGGAAGTGTACCTAGTTTGATGTCTTGGTCACAATTTTAGAAAGTTATGGAACAGCACCACTCCGTGGGCCAGTGAAGGTATACTAATTAAAATGCAGTTAACCATTTACTTGGCGTTCGATATACAAATAGACAGTATCAGTGTAGGGCATCGCACACAAGTGTATCATCTCAAGTTACTACACACTTCACAGTAGTACACAAATAGCAGATGGATAGAAAAAGATCAACATCCAAGTTGTCAACGTTGTGGGAGAGGATAATGAATCTGACGATCAAGTTTAGTGCAAATATTCAACGTTTAGAAGACATACATCAATGTCACTGTGAAAGATTTTCAAGCATCTCACCAAGAGTACTCAGACGCTGATTTCTTTAACCTCTGGGAACTCAGCCAGGTATTTTAAATCTCCCCAAGGGATTCAGACCAGCGATTAAGGAATTCATGAACTGGTGTCATTTCTTAGTCTATCTACCCTTAAACCTCTTGCGACCTAATGCAGCTTCCCCTAGAGTGATGTGTCGAGGTAGGTGGCGAACAGTTTGGCACACTAGATTTTAAGCGACACTGCTATAGGACAATCACAGAAGTTGATCATAACTACAGTTTCAGACAGATACTTCGTATTTCTCCTCGGACTACCTAGATCTCTCGGGACTTGTTTAGTATTGATAACAGCCCTTATAGAACTTAACTGCGAATATCACATCAAAACATTCACTTTTTACAACTGTGTACAGTTAATCTAATCACACATAGGTATCATATGTTTTAATAAATCAAGGAAATATGACCAGTGTTCAGAACTCACTCAAAACCCATGGATTATATTCATCAACTGAAGTATTATTCACTTACTGAACTATCCTAACGGTTCTAAATTTCTCGATAGTGGACATTGTATAACACAAAAGCTGCTGATGAATCCAACCAATTTGTCATGAAACAGGAAATCTATTTCACAGAAATAACTTCCGATTTCTTGCCTAAAACTTCATCTGCAAGTCACATGGTATCCAATTTAATTATTAGTACAAACATCCAGGAATAACTGTCAGAATTATTGCAAGTTTAATAAAGTTTAGATTTAGTTTTAATTCGCTATCAATTTTCAAGGACATTACCGGCAGAAATTTAACATAAACCTAGATTAAAAAACTGAAACTCTCGATCTACGAGACCTACATTTCCCCCCAATTTAGTACTTTTATGCGGCATAATATTGCTATGTCAGACTTGTTGCCTAGTAATGAAACGCTGAAACCATTGAAGGAGTTGTCCCTACTAAAAATTTTATTCTCTTACCGACTATGGTAAAGCTGTTTCTTGAAGCAATTTCTTGATTAATTCATCAGTAGGTATATTATTGTAAGGGAAAAACTTGACCACTGTGGCACGGCATAATTCCATATTAGACTGTGCATTCGATATAGCAAACAGTGACATTATAATTTACTGGATGACGTTTCGAGCAGAATTTATTGTTCATATTCATACCGAGGTAATCATATGACTGTCAAAATCCCTTTATATTGTACAACAGTTCTTCATTCTTCTACAGATATCTACAATACGTGATGAATTATGTCTGTTACATGTGTTAGGTGTTGATCCAATGAACAAGGATTCTGTAATCGATCTCTCCCTCCATCTAGCTGTATTGGATTTTAGAATTGTTACCCTATCTCTACCTTGTTTGATATGGGTCAGTGTATGCAGAGTAATAGCCAAGTTTTTCACTAAATCACTTGCATTAGTAGGGTCTACCACTGTATATCTCGCTAAATTTTTGCCTTCTGCTATTCTGACTGACACAAATTGGCTGCTCTGACCCGTATACCTGACTTCTTAATCATTACAAGGTTTTTGATAGATTAGGTTACTTTCTTTAACTAACTCTAATGGATCTTTTAGCCTACAAAGTTTCTCTCTGCGCGAGTTTGCAGGTTTTAAATGCCACTGTAACTCCAGGATTGTTAAGAATTCTACGTAAAATTTCCAACTTATCGTCTTTATACGGCAACATTACATAGAATTTGAATTCCCTCTTAGGCATGTTGCAATCACCACTAACATTACCACTCCTTCTCTATCAGTCCTTATAAACTTTTAATAAATTTTGGAGGGTAGTGATTAAGAATTAGTATCTCTCGATGTATTTTCTGACTTACTAGTCAAACTCCTTGCTGAATTAATTAAACATTTTATCGGCCCTACCTTGACAGACATAGGGTGAGATGATTTAAGTATCTATTCGAATGTCTTGGTTTCCTATAAGCACTAGTTTCTTGATTTTACAATCTAACATAGGAAATTCTACTCTTTCATTTTCTAACTCATAAGTCAATTGGGTTGTATCTACTGCCAAGTTAATGTATATAAAGATCTCTGGACATGTTCTGATTTCGGCACAGTAAATTTGCCATCTACATATCGGCACCACACTTTTGGGGTGTGGGTGGAATGTTCTGAATGCTATTTCTTCCTAAATGTTCATAAATATGTCTACTTCGATCGAGGATATTGGAGGTTGCATCGCTACTCCTTCTGTTTACTGATATATTTCATCTTTAAACTTGAAAACTATGTAAGTTAAACACAATCTTAATCCTGACGTGATTTCTTCAGTAGAAATTTTAGCTTTATTTCTGAGTTCATAATCAGTTGTGAGTTCATACTGACAGCCTCAAGTCCATATTAGGTGATATATTTGTATAGAGGCTAATCACATCAACAAGCGTATTATTCACTTCATACTTCTTATACTGCTGATCTTATAATCACCCCTTAGGCTATGTTCCAAAAAGGATTTCTTTTGAATAGTTTTTTTTAAGAATGATTACACTTACAATGTGGAAAAGATATTTTTATCTGAAGAAGTACGCAGCTAACATTCTGTACCAACCACCCTGATCTGTATACAGCAATTGTATAAAACTTACTTTGACTACAGGAATAGTTAGGAAGATTGCATCTGTACGTATCAATGTCTCAATTTACCCTTTAGTAACAGCACCAATTTTGACTGAAAGTAGACGAACAAGAGTTTGTTAAACTATGAAAAATGCTCTTCTTATTAGTTTGAAGGAATCTAGTGGGAAAGTTATCTTCATCAACAGTTGACAGCTGAGAAATTCTTGCCCACGAGGAAGCACTAGGTGACTGGTTCATTTTACTTACATGCAACGAAACAGTGTCTTCTGTTATTACCCTGTGGGTTCGAACTCGAAATACTCTTATTCGACATCCACCGTTTAACATTAAGTTGACGATTATCGTCTCATTCTTTTTGTCAAAACATATTAAAAGTATATTCAATCCATGCATGACTATGTCTCACCCTGGTTTTCTTTGCTTGCATTGCGTAATATCGGTTCAGCTGGTAAATATTTCGGTGTCATCGGAGATGAATCTTGTGAGTTGAACCGTTTAAGAGGATAGGATTCTGTGTTGTTATGTACAAAGGCTGTAGAAATAAAAAACAAAATATCACTCTTGTAGTGAAGACTATATGAAAGTATCTGTCATTATGGAAACTGGATTTATTGCGTTTAAGGAATGGTAAAACAGCCAAGGTGATATTAATTTACTGATGTTATTTCTAAAACGATCGAGTGGTTCAGTGGGAATTTTCTCACGGACTCTACAAAAATCAAAGATGCGAATTACCGAATAGTTGGTTGCATATCATAGTCTTAAATTACCTGTTAGAATAAAACCGTTTTTTTTCGATAATAATACTTTAAAAGCTAAATCCCTAGGAAATTATTCTGTAGGAAATCTGTATCAAGCAGCCGATTGGTAGAAATGATCGTTCATAACTGTTTGTCTCTTTTTATTCATTAGTGGTGAAATTAGATAAGTTGCACACTTCACACGTATACGAAGTTCGAATAACTTTTCAATCTGCTCTAAGCGTTATTCTTGCATAAGTAACAGGAAATATGTGATCGGAAACCGTATATTAAAGCAAATACGCAAACTAGAGAACGAAGCTAGTTGTTTGATGAATCACCCAAATAAAAAACCGCAGTCAACGATATACAATGGTTACTGAAGTTCGTATAAAACTAACGGAGAAACGTCACCAGTTCATAAGATATTCGTCATGAAACCTCAACTTAGTTTGGAGGTTTATAGGGATTGCTTCATTTCAACTGGGTATCCATCTGTGATTGACATCAGCTAAAGATCTATTGAAAACCAGGAGGCACCGGACAGATATTTCATCTCAGTACAGGACTCTTCAGCAGTGCACACCAATGACTCTGCGAGTGGCTAGTCTTCGCAAACCCGCAAACAAAATTACTGTCTAGTACTCACTAGTGACATACTTCGAAATGAGTTTCCTAACGCTCTAATGACAAACCGTGACCGATGGGGTCAACCAAATCAGAAATGGAGTTAACCTGTACAGATGATATTTCATGGTAGTCACGCTTAAATTATAATGTGACGGAAGCTGGAAAATGTGAACCTCTGGATTGCAATCCAACAGCTCAAAACTAATGTGCGTGTTGTGAAGCCTGAAGGTCATGGGTTCTGTCATTGGTTGGGTTATGACTACTCACTACTGAGGAACCTCATAAAGGGAAGAAACAGCTGCCAGGCAAGATAAAAGTTGGTGTTATCTGCAGCCTTTTCTGTATATAAAGCAGTAAGGATGTTAAAAAGTGTATGCACAGACTGTGGAGCGCGCTAGTATTCATCGATGTATATGAAATGATGAATTATTTGTTATAGCTTTACAAAACCAAGAAAAGGGACTTGGTATTATTATTACTATTTGTCTTTTGGGTTCCTAGTGGAACATAGGGCTTCAGTAGCACATCAACATTCCACTCTCTTTTCTACAGTCTTTCGAACGTATCTTTACGACTGCCCAGAAGCTTTCGTTTCTTCTTCACACGACCTTCTTCATGTGATAACCCTCGGATGGCCAACTCATGGTTCCCCAATTGGATTCCACTCGATGGCCTAACGTGGTGCGTCATGTCCTCAGACGGTCTTCTCAGTGCATACCTAATCTAATCCAATCCATCTTCACTTTCTTCTGCATGTTTGTTGTGCAACGGGCTCTTCCTTGGTTCGTTGACAGCCAGAGTTCCTTGTCGTTTATTTCTTTTCGCCACCTATCTGATCTGCAATATCAAGTGAGCGTAGGCAGCAGTTGTTGATGTATGCCTGTAGTTTGTTCGAAATGCTTTTTGTAAAACCCCGCCAGGCCTTTCAAACATCACATAGAAGCACTAACTTGACTGACATTAGTGAAGAAAAACCGGATCTTGTTCACGCTTTCTGCAGAGTGCAGTGCAGTAGATCTCCACATTGGTTGTTTCAGATTAATGCTGGAGGGCGTGTCTTGCTGTCTTTCTAATCCTGGCTGCTTTGGCAGTTTCATCTGTGTTGGCATCACCACCTGTATTTGAGACGATGCTGCCTTGCCTGGACAGGTAGGTAGGTGAAACATACAACTTCCTTTAGCTTTCTCCCACTGATATTGATTGGTGCTTGTTGTTGGTTGGGTATCTTCATCACCTCTGTCTTCTCCATGTTCACTTGTAAGAAGTTTCATCTTCATTACCCCATCTCTTGTGTCAACTTATTCGTTTTTGTCTGTAGATCTTTGAGTTTGTGCGACAAGACATTAGACACAACTCATCATCGGTTTTGAAATCCAAATCTTCTAGGGTCTTCTCATGGGTTTAGACATCATATGCCCCTGCCCTCACTCCTCACAGTCTGTTGCGTGATCCAGTCCAGTCGAGTCAACTACAGTCAGGAAGATGATCGGTGATAGACGGTAACCTTGTCTTACTCTTATATCCACTTCAAAAGCATCACTGAGCTTTCCATTGTGAATCATCTGGCACGCAGTATCATATAGCATATATCTGTTAAATAAGACTGATAAAGGTTTGTGGCAGTGAGATTGTAGTGTTGAAGCAGCTGCCAAATTACTTCACGGTCGACGTTTTCAAAGGTCTCTTCGAAATCGATGAAGTCGAAGTAGAGAGTTGACTGCCATTCTATGGCAATGACAAGAAAAAACTTTTTTCCCCAAGAAATATAACAGTTGAACCTTTCAGATCAATGCCATTTCTACCTTTCTGTCTCTCGCTTTAGTGGTGAAGTTAAAGAAACGTCTATCGATAAGTTCAATTTGTCAATGTATGAACACTGTTCACTTGTGTACTGTTGAAATGATCTGTAGTTGTTTTTAACCTTCAGTTCTGAAACTAAGCACAAATTTTATAGAGAAGCGGACTATCAGTGTACTGCATATGTGGATAAGATTCAGCATTATAGGAATGTTGTTGATTCTAATATCAATCTAGTACAGAATAGAATTCAGTATTGACATAATTAAGTTCAACTAGAATAACTTTACAATCGCATCGTACCATATTTGTTAATGAGTATGACGTAGATAAACTTTAGCAATCCAAAAATAAAAACCTTTTCAGAGACCCTGAACAGCAAATGAGGACACCTTATGGTTAGTTATTAATTAACTATCAATTTCATTCACAGACTTCCTGTACAATTTCATTCTGACTTCAACTAGTTTTTCATCATGGACTGACAACAGATAGAGAGCCATCGAAAATCTGAAAGCGTTGAAGAGTTTTTTTTTACAAAACGATAATTTTCAGCAGCCTGGATCAGTGACCAACAAAGAAATGAACTCATAACTTTTAGATTTCACGGCTAATACTTTGTCATTGAATCATTGTATCAAAATTCAATAGTTCACATTTTCATACTTTTGTCAATCCACAAAATGAATTCCGTTGTGATTGTTTATGTCAGTTTTCTGGGAATGCCGGGGTTGATTTGGGGGAACATACTTTCCGTTGTGTTAGGATCACGAAACTGCAACTACATGATCAGAAAACTGACAGCCACATTTTTCATGGCCGAATCTGTCACATTAGGAAGTCTGTGAGAGATTTTATGTGGTGAGTTTCATCTATTTCTTTAGGATACTTTTTTCTATGAGTGAAAATTGCTATCAGTGATAATAGTGTTTGTCTTACCACTAGTGCAATATTGTAAAGTCTTATGAGATAAACTGCAAGTAAGCCTAGGAACAGTTTCCTATTTCAAGTTCAGTGGTTGTAGTAATGGAATGGAAAAGTAACCGAGTCCCTAGACTTTTAGATGCGGCTAGAACAACTGCCCGTAATGATCAAAACTGTTCCTATAGTAAGAAATTGTAACCATAAATTTCGATGAACAAATCAAATTTGAATACTGGTAAGATATGAAATCACACTGTAAAAATGGTTCTCTGAGGAGTCCCTGGTCGAACTTCAGGGGCACTTTTGCCTATTATTCGGAGAATTGTTTTATGTGACACAGCAATGTACATAGATGAACCTTCTTTTATGAGCTGCATCCGTCACATTGTAAATAAATGCTACATTAGACGTGTTAGACGCTGAGACGGGAACATATGCAACTGAATGGTTCTAGCAGAACTTTCGGAAAAGAGTTAGGTAGGTGAATGCTTCAGAAAATGAAGTGGTATATCGCCATGTAAAGACATATATACACAAAATTTAATGTTACTCCCCCACTGATACTCAAATCAGAAACTGAGAAATATTTTTACACCATGTACAGAAAACTATCCTCTATGTTTCGTTTTTTTTTTACTTCTTTTCAATGCATTTTTAGTCTAAAAATGCGTTCTCAACTTTAAAAGAATCTGATTGGCTATTCGAAGTCGTTGGTTTTTGGTTTATATCTTCTTGATGATTACTTGCTCACAGTAAAGGAGAAGAATGTAAATTTCGGATAATCTATTTGATGCACATTCCAAGATGTTCAGAGAATAACTCACATCTTGAACTAAAAATATGCCCCACAACATTCAAGAATATTACACTAAAAATACCACGTAGTGATATCAAATGACAATAAGCAAGCATCAGAGACTGTTTCTCCTACTCATATGAGTAAATTAACCTAACATGAAAACACCCCTGCATTCTAGGTTTTGACAACAACAGTTATATCCCAAGAGTATTGACAGAGACTCAGTTAAACCTGGAGGAATGGAGAATCTATCATTCAGTATTGAACAAATAATGAAAGTGCCTAGAATATAGTACGATTTCATGTTTTTGTGTTTCCATGTTGAGATAAGAGCTGTCGGTATCCAGGATGTTGCCATGTAAGCTTTATGTAGCATAATTGGCGTTAGTGGTCACCAGTAGCATGCAAAATGTGTAAGTTTTAACATAATTTTAATAAGTCTCTTCGTTGATTGTAATATTTTTAATCCAGAATGCTGTATTAGGCTCAAATGGTAATATATCGGACACCGGTAGTGGCTGAAACATGAAATCAGGAATTCTTTCAAGAATTTATCAAATGTCACGTTTCTATGCAGAGAGGCAGAACACTAACCTCCTTGACTAAAAGATGCGTTAAATATCAGTGTTAGTAGAGTACACATATGTATTTCTGTCAGTAATATCGGCTGACAGTTACGTTATATACTGTGAGTTGATTGAAGTCGTAAAACTTTGAAAAGATTTTGCTTCAGTGACTGGATGGGTAAGTGGTGTTTGTGGGATCTGATGATTTTAGTCTCACTTTTAGTTGAAACAGTCAGCGTATGCTGCTTTATATTTCTAAAGTGGGATGAGTTTGTTTTACATCACTAAATGATTTTTATTGACTCTTTAATTGTAAACTGGTGCTTTCTTGTTTTACACGACGAAATAACATTTAGTACATTTTAGAAAATATGAATCGCCTAATACATAACAATTACTTCTTTTTCTTTTACCACCTACTTTACTATGAATTACATTTTAATGAACTGATATTCTAACAAAATTTCTCTGAATTTATCAATCTGGCAACCAATTAAAGTTGTGAACACATGATGTTTCTCTTTGCCTAGTCATCCGCCTTATTGAGCTGACTCATATATAACACTTAATTCGAGACATTCAATAATTATGTCAATATTTAAAGTAATTAATGGATCACTAAATAAATTCTGTGTTTTATTACATAAAATATTTTGATTTAATACAGACCCAAATTTCAAATGAATATCTATCTCTTCTGAGTCAGTAGTATCTGCATCACTCTACTACTACTACTACTACTACTACTACTAATAATAATAATAATAATAATAATAATAATAATAATAATAATAATACTATTACTTCAACTGTATAGAAACTTTCCGTAACATGAAGCATGTGTTTGATGCTAATATCAATTAATCAAATCCTACTCTCTTCACCTAGCTGAGTTATTAATGAACGGCTGTTCAATAATCAAGAGTTTATTCTACCTGTAGTGAAATAATGAAACTGAAAGTAAAACGGTATCTTTCGTCGGGATGTTACTCATCAGTGACTAACATAAAGTGTAGAACCATTGAAAACCTGGAGGCACTGAACAAGCATTTCATTCTAGGATAGAACTTTAAAGCAGTGTGTGTTCCTGTGGAGTCTCCTACTATCCAGTGCTCCATGGTTTTCAATAGTTTTCCGCATATTTTTAGGTTAGTCAGTCCCAAAATCCTTCAAAATGAATTGATATCTGTTTTGTTTACTACACCATGTTAACTATAAAGTGCATAATGAAGAAAATAAACGATAATATTTGCATTAATTTGTACTAACATTTTTTTATTCGATCAGGTATATCGCCGGTGTCATTTTCACTTCCATATTGAACACGTTTTCTCCAAGCTTCTTGATTTTCGCACAGCGACATTCGAATTTGATTAAGATTACACGGGCGTTCTTCTTCTGTCATTGGTCTACCAAGACGTTCGCGCCAGTTTAAACTATTCTGTCGAATACAAGCAATTCTGTTCAGTATAACAGGAAATGAAACAATAATCACAGTAATAACTGTCAACATTCCATTGGGAAATGACCGTTTATTACTATTATTGTTATTATTACTATTAATTTTGTGAAAGATAGACAACTTCGAGTCAGTATGAGGCGATAGCATTTGTACACACTTTTTCAAACCTTCAAAATAACCAAGTTTAGAGTCGAATAAAAAGAACGGCAGTTAGTACTTGGTTGGAAGCAGTCGACAGTGAGCCCTACTCAACCCAAGCTACACGATTCTTGGTCTTTGTCAGCAGGGCGTAACTATAGCCTTAAGGGAACCCATGTCTCCCATAAGGTTCAAACGCATGTGGCCTAGATGTCAGTAAGGAATTGCCTACTGACCTCAACTAGCTTTGGTTCCCAAACGGATACCACATAGTTCAGTAGAACTACAGTACAAGCCATTGTAGGAAATTACAAAAAAAGATGATGGAAGTGAACTATGTTGATGGATGTTAGATACCTAAGGGCAACAGAAAGCCTTGAAACTAGACTTTTTAGTGGTTGACACTGATCAGTACTGCCAAATGCCTTGGTAGAAACTCTACAAAATGTTTCTTCATTGTTCTACCAAGTTAGTTGACGATAAACAGTATCAATCACTGCATCCATATCAGGTATCAGCAAGTGAAACCTTAGAATTCATCCAGTGTTCAAACGAATATGTAAATATCACGAACCGAGAAGCAATGAGAAACTGGGAGCACTGGACCGTTTTTTCGTCCTAATGTGGGACATGTCAACCGGATGAAACAAATGTCCAGCACTCCTAGTTTCCCGATGGTTCTCCAACTTATGTCACTGTGTGATGAATACCACCTTGAAGTAAACAAAATTCTGGTGAAGCACAAAGTAAATTACCGTATGGTGGGTGTTAGTAACATGCTTTAAGATCGATATTCCGAGGTTCTAATGAGAAGTCATGACCTGTTGGGTTCAACCACAGAGTAGTGAAGCAGATACCGACTGAAGACATTGGTGAATAGTTGCACTGTATTACTAACCGATATAAGTGAGAGGTTGTGTATAATCGACCTAAGACCCATTGGCTGAGGAGCCCCTTTATAAGATGAAACAGCTGTCCAGTGCTGTCACCTTTTCAGCGCTTCTCCAACAAGTGTCAGTTCGTGATGAGTACTAACATAAATCCTCATAAACCCGAAAGTATTGCTATGTATCACTTAGGCCCGACACCTAGTTTCGTTCTTCTCATAGCACACTTTTCCCGATTAAAACTTCAGCAAACCTATAGGCATACTTTAGCGTCATTCAGCTAGCTGCACACTTCCTTAATGACTATTTATGCATATTTAAATCTTACTAGTCGTGTACTACAGATTCAACATTATTTAAAGGATGAAATCTTCTGAACAGACATTATACAAACGCATCTCGTGGTAATGATGGAAAGTGGCTAGCAGAGGGATCCGAAAAGCGTATTTCGTCCGAACTGCGATTTATCAGCTGAACTCAACTGCCTCCCACTGAGTTATTCATCCCATTAGGTCTAGAACCTAGAACCAGTCTCTTCAAAACTCGAGAGCGTTATTCACTGGACCACCCAGTTACAATAGCCCTTGCTTTGCATCAGCGAAGGAGCCCATTTGCCGATAAAGACCGGCCAACCCAATCAATGACGAGATAATACCAGCAACAGCACACATTTCATATCGCTGGAAATAAATATAAAGTTGTGAAACAGATCCCAGGTAAACCAAGTCGATTAACAACACCCCGTTTGTCCACAGTGTCTCATGTATTTCACCACTTATCGTGCTACACCACCTTCACCCCAACATTTCGTAAGTGGATTTAACATATTTTCTGTGTCAGGGTAGTTAGAAGCTCCGTGTTTTATTAACAAATATAATTTTTGAAATGAATGAGGCTTTTTAATTTAGAATTAGTATTCGTCATGGAATGATATCAGTTGGAGAAATATTAAAAACCCGGGAGCACTGGACAGCTGTCTCGTCCTAGTATTGGACTCCCCAGCAGTACGCACCCACGACCCGGCAATGGGTCGAACTCACGACCCTCAGGATCCACGGCGAACGCGTTAACCACTCAGCCACTGGGTCGATTTCCAGTGGTTCACAATTTCCAGCTTCTGTCACTTTATGACATAGCGCGACTGTCACCCAAGGTCTTCAGTTAGCATCCACTTCACTTCCGATTGGTTGACCCCACAGGTCACGGTTTCTCATTAGAACTTCCTGACATCCATCTAGAAGCTGCCAGTTTTTCAATGGTTCCCAACTGATGTCAGTCCATGATGAATACTACTTTTAAATATAGATTTCTTTTGAGTGGAATGGGGAGCTGCGGTTTATGTTGTGTATTCGATACCTGTCAGGTTACCAGAAACTGGGAACGTATTGTTTCAAGACCCCATTCAATTCGCTATTTACACGCTTTGCCTAATCTAGGTGTTTTATGATGTTAAAAGATGACTGAAAGGTGCAGCTAGTTGACTTTCATTCAGTGAGCCAAGTAACCTAGTTACTTTATGACTTTTTAATTGTGAAATTACGTTGTGTAGAGGTTAGCTTCGTTTAGCATAGTAGCACAGCTCACAGCCTATTACACAAAATATATACGCTTCTAATGACTAACTGATTGTGTAGTAGTATCAAAAAAGGATTCAAAACAGCTTGTATGCTCTTTTTGCAGTGAAATCATCTCTTAGCCGAAATCGTATGCTACACACCGATTTCCACCGATCTCTTTCTATGGAGAAACTAATGTGTGTACCAAAGTCTACCTATTATTGTAGTCTGCTTGTTGGCTAGTAGTTGGATCCAGGATGGGTGTTTCGTTCCATCTGGAACTCGTCATCTAGATCTACTTACACCCCATTAAGTGATATCTTACCAATGGAGGCTAGAGCCTAATATCCCATCATTTTAAACGCCGAAGCATTATCCATAAGACCACTGGGGCATAATGACCACCACTTGTGCAATGAGTGTCAGGCATTGTTTATCAATACTGGTGAGAGGTCGAACAGTTCGACCCAATATAGCAACGCGGAATTACATTTTTCCATGTATCGTGCACTGTAGTCCAGCCTGCTTAGGGGCAACGTCATCAATTTCAGTGGTTGATGCCAAAAGATGACCAGTTCCCACAAGTGTTTTACAGTGTACTGTCCTTATAAATGCCATCAAACAAGACATCTACCTCCAGTCACCTGACACTAAAGTATACCAGTATAAGTAGCTCTGAAGGAAATTCAAATACACATACAGATAAAAAGTACACTTGCATTTCAAAAATGGTGGTCACAACTGTTTTCCTTTATATAGACTGAAGACCATATGAGTTGAGAATACTTTATATAGACCATTAAGTTGCCGCATGTATAGCTGGAGAGTCAGAGAAAATGTATCACAGTCACTTATATTATTAGTATTTCAGTCATGTGCAGCAAATGTGATGACTAATAACATGTGAGAAAACTAAATCGTAGCTTATTGTAGCTAACTTGCATGTCGTAAAGAAAGTAATAACAGATGACCAGTATTTAACATACAAAGGATATATATACATATTAAAATGGTTACCCTGAAGTCTCTGTTAATGTAATTAAATTGAATTTTACGCATCACCAACCATGACTACAAGTAATAGGCATTTTGTAATAATCATATAAATTCTAAAAGTTAATCTTACCTGTCACTAATTGACATCATTGGATAGTCGTCTTTATGGTTGTCTTCTGTTCTCATAAAATTGTTGTTTGATTGTTGTTCACTGAATTTGCTATGATTGTTTGGTTTAAAATTTGTGTGTGAAGTGTATGAATGAAGAGATGTTGTTCTAGGTATTTTCCCGGAAAATGATTGATTTCGAGCTTCTCCCTCTGGTAAACCACTTTCTTCTACTGAACTCACGGGCCTAAACAATAATTTTTAAAATTGTAAGACTTCATGAATTGAATGATGAAGCATATTAAAAATCAAAATTCATTTCATGTTATTTTAATAATAGATTAATTCAATTGGTTAGTGGTATATTTTTGTCATGAAAATTGATTGGTAGCCTACAAACAACCTTCACACTAACCAATCTTCTACAGGCCTGTTGCTTTGTGTGGGAAGCGCATAGAGTGAAATTTTGCAAATACTAGTTCAGAACATTATAAGTGAACTAAAATTTCAGAGAGATGCAATTTGATTCAAATCTTAGATTGACTACAATAGCTAAAACATTGTGAATAGCACAGCATATGACAGCTTTGGGGATTAATAACGGCTACGATCGCTAAATTTACAGACAAGAGTGTGAAGAGTGTATTTTTTGATATACTAGCCACACTTACTCAGTGTATATCAATCAACATCTTCATATGAGCATTACGCATGCATTGAAATAAAGAGAGAGAAAATATGATAAGTAGTCACTTAGGCACTGGAAACTAGGAGAGATCATTTAATCTTGAAGCTTTCATCGTCATTCCAGACGACATCATCAACACTAACTTCAGTATGAAGTGAGCTGTCAATATCTCTCCATCACTGATTTAGTAGCTTACCCTGAAAAACTGCATTGTGTTTGGTTGTTTCCTCTGATTGTTGTATCATCGACTGTATAGATTTTCCTATCGCCTGTTCCCCTCCTTCACCTCTCACTTTTCAGTCATTTATCACTTTCCTCATTCATTGCCGACTGGCCTAGAAGCCAAGATTCTAGATATTCTCTGGTATTCTCTGTGTTTCCTGTGTCCACGATTTCTTCATTATCAAAATTGAATTCATGTCCACAGTTGTTATCTACATGCATTGAAATGAGTGATGAAATGTCATGTTTAATCGCTAATTGGCGTTCATGTAGACGAGGGTGGAGAGGGCGACCAGTTTGTCCAATGTGGCGTTGACTGCATTATTGCAGTTAATTTTGTAAATGATTCTCTGTTTATCTTCTCTGACTGTTGCATCATTTGGTCTGCAGAATAGTGGTTGCGGGGAATTTTTTTGGTTCATGAGCCACACCAATTCCAAGTGGTATAATCCTTTACATTCCTACTAGAAACATGTTACAAGTAAACTGCCCGTTCAGTAACCATGACCTACTGCAAATTTTTGAAGGAAGCACACCAACTTAGCATATAGACATTCAGGATAGTAAGGAGACTTTTTGAGATTGCTGAAAGAACGTCTACTTCTGCCTTGTCTATTCCAATCAAGTTACCTGTTACGAATTAAATAATTATGTGGTGACTAATAGTGTTGAGACATCCTGTATTATAGTGGATCAGCCGGTGAGTACTCACTTGTTTTCTCTTGCAGTTAAGTTTGTGTTGACTCATAAGAACTCTTTCTATCTTCCTTTAAGTAAATAAATAGCAATTCAATCTTGAAGAGACACTGTAGTTTGCCATGGTAAGAGAAGCTGGATTAGGTTGGAAGAGGGTTCACGTTTGGAAAACTCGGACGTGACACCAGTCCATGCAGTCTTTCACTGATGGTTTGAGCCATGTTTGAAGATGTAGACTACCTGGTTGGAATCTCCAAGACGATAGGAGTCAGCGATGATATGGTTGAAAGTTGGTCACAATGGCAGAAATGTATTGACTCCTTGATGTCTTCTGAAGCTTGATTATTTGCATTGAACTTGATCTTCAGACTCACTAGTATCTCCAACAACTTCGTCTAATTGAATATCAGTCTTTTAATATCCACCTATTCTCTGTGTACTACTGTGAAGTGTGGTGACTTGAGGTAATGCACTGGTGTTTAGGGTTCTCCGTTGCTTTTGCTTGTGCATCTGGTTCAGAACTACGATATTTACACACCATTTTTTGTATACCTATGCATATCAGTGTTTCAGCTGATGACAAATGGGAATTCTAGGGTGAGGAAGCCAAGAATATATCCACCAGCACATGAATTAGTCAGCAGATGGCAGTCAGTATATCAGTGGAGTCTCAGATGTTCAACACTAACCGATCCTTGTCGTTCGAGTATGCAAAATAAACGACACTAGGCCAGTTGGTTGAAAAGTGCAGTGTGCTTCACTGCCAAGTGACTGAAATTCATTGATGGATTACTGGAGAACAACCAGTTTCACACTGTCTAGTTTTTAGTGGCTATTGGATCCAATCGATCATTTTGCATTTTGGCCACCAGGCCACAATCTGATGCAAGTTAATGAATGTTACCTAAATGGTGTTAATCGATGGTCGATAGGATCTGACTAACAACTAGGACTCGAAAACATCAAGTTCGTTATCTTCCACTGACTAATCGATTAAACTCATCTAGTCCCACAAAAGTTTAGCCGTTTTCTGAATGGCTCAGTGGACGGTGAACTAGTGACGGAGTGTCTAACAATTTCGGTAGCAGATTTGAAGGACCTTAGTTTAGTTCCTGGTGGGGTCACGGGTATCCCTTGTTGGAGAGTACCATAGTAGGAAAAAACAATAGTCTAGTACTCCCTGGTCTTCAGTGGTTCTCCAACTGATGTCAGTCTATGATGAATACTACCCTGCAATAAATAAAAAGCCAACAGACCTGAAGCCGAGTTACTGAGTAGTGCTCATTAGTAACATGCATTGATATGGATATCCCGAAGTCCAAATAAGAAGCTACGACTATGGTGTCAACCAGTCGGAAGTAGAGAGAATGGCTAGTACGTTCGCCGTGATACTGAATATTCTCGCTCCGGTCTTTGGTGGGGTGGTGAGTGCGTACTGGGGAGTGTTCTGCTGATGATACGAAACGGTTAACCATTGATTCTGAGTCGTCAGTGGTACTGCAACCAATTTCAGTGCATACTGACAATCAAATATCTATCCATGAATTTCAGCTAAATGGGATAATTAGAAAAATATCACTCAGTCGATTCTAATGCAATAATCTCCAGTTTAATTGTAATGCTCACACTTCATACCTTTCATTTCTCTTTCATTTGTCAAACTCTACTTACATTTTTATATAATCATTCATTAACATACCGTAAACAAATAAACATTTGTTACTCACAATAATCGTCTACATATGAAAGTGAGAAAAAGTTAAAATACCTCATGATTACTGAGTTATGTTTTGATGGATGGCAGAGGAATCCAGGACGCGAGTTTAGTCCTATCTGAGACCCGTTATCTAGATACACATGCACCCAGTTAGTTATGCTGATCTTTCTGATACTCGAACCCAGTAACCATAGATTCAAACGCCAGTGAGTTATGCAATTGGCCGATGGGAAACAGTAGCATTGTAAACAAAAAAAATAACCACTGAAATGGCATTATGCATCGACATTCATGTGTGCGCACTGCTGAGGATTCCCGTCCTCGAAGGAAACATCTGTTCAGTACCCCGGGTTCCCAGTCACTCTCTTTATGATGTCAGCTCACGATGAATAACCACAAACCTGCAGATGGAATCAATACTGGAAGTATCCCAAATGACTTTAAGGAATGAAGCCTACAAGTTACCCTTTCTTCCCCTAGACAACTGCATCAATAAACCCAACTTTACTGGTTACTTACGACTGCCCCTCCAACCACTAACATTTATCGTCTCCCATTATGTGAAACAAGAAATTACAAGTCTCATTTCGATGTCATAATCATTTCGCTGCCAAGTATTTTGACGCTTACACTAACTAATGGGAATTACTGAATGAAGATGACTGTTAGATTAATCATAAAATCGCTTCAGGTATCTTTATTTCGGTTAATAATCCGAATACTTATTATCCGGATGTTGTTTTAACCATAGGTCTCCTGGATACCTACCAGCATTTTCTTCATTCTGTGTAAATGTCAACCTATCAAGTAAAGCCTACTTACTAAAATCAGTAACATAGTGTCAGGCCTGCTGTATTTTGCATAAGTGCGCCATACCTTTTAGCCTTCACTTGTCAATTATCATTCATTCCTATTGATCACAAAGTTTAAAGTAGTAGTAATCACTATTTCTTCATTTTGACCCTCTCCAGCATCTTATTACAAGATGAGGAAACGTTATATATTTATTTCCAATATTCTCCTGTACTTCTTGTTCACTAAACTTGAAATGACGTCAGTATGCAAACCATTTCACCTGTTCCTGTAGAGTAAGGTGTGTCGGTAGTCCAATGAGAAACACATTCAAAAAGACTTAAGAGTACTGTCCTGTATGACTGGAAAAAGTGACAGTAACTCCTTAAATATTGCAGCAACTGAACACCCTTTGACACTAATCATACTGTTCTGACAATATCGCGTTTCATAGTTACATACAGGCTAAGAAAATTTCTGCCAACCTTGCATATTTTCTTCCCCTTTGAATCGGTGAAATACTGGATTTCCACACACAAAATCCATAGGTAAGCATGAAATAAAAGTATTTTTTATTTCATAGTCTCACCTTAACATTTCGATTTAAATCACTAAGTGATACCGACTTATTTACTTGATGACGATGTTTTGTGCATAAATTATCCCCAATAATCATATCAATGTTATCACATCAATTTCAACATCTGATTTGATAGTCCTGTCATCTCCCATTCTCTCTTTCTATTCATAGTAAACTTTCCCACATCTCTGACATAAGTGTTGCGTCCTTTCTATGAGGTGTATGGAGTGCTGATTCGACGAACAAAGATTCAGTAATCGATCAGTCAGTATCTCTCTCTCTCTCCCTCTCTCCACCTGTTTATACTAGACTCAAAAACAGTTGTGCCCGACCTCCACATTCTTCCAACTTCAAGACAAAATATACAGACAAACAGAAGGAGTAGCAATGCAATCACCAATATCCCCAGTCGGATCAGATAAGTTCATGGATAGTTGGGAGAACATGGCGTTACAAACGTTTAATCCTTCACCAAAAACATGGTGTCGATATGTGGATGACACATTCGCTGTGTTGAAATCAGAATGTATTGACAATTTCCCCACACGTATAAACTCAGTAGTAGGCACAATCCAATTCACTCACGAGGTAGAGAATGAATAAGGAGAATTACCTATTTTGGATTGCACAATGAAACAAAGGACAGACAGGTTTGGGCACTACAGTCTACAGGAGACCGATGCATTCCAACAAGTATCTAGGTTTCAGGTCATCTCATCCAGTTAAGATAGGTTTGTTCGAATGTCTGAATGATGGGGCTATACATCTGACTAGTTAGTGGAAAGACTTACATGAGGGATTGAAACACATGGAAAAACTTTACTCACTAATAAATATCCACTACCATTCATTAAGAAATTCGTACGAATACACAAAAACCAAACGACAACAGTAACACGAGTATGAATAATAACGACATCACAAGTAGAAAGGAGTTGCCGGCCTCCATCATGTTACCCTATAAGGAAGGTACATCTGAAATTTTATGTAGGTTCTTCAGAAATGAGCTTTGTCGGTTGCTTCAGGATCCAATATGACGAATTAAACAAAACAATGTGATCTATCAAATTCCATGTGATGACTGAGAGGTCAAGTACATATGTGAAAGTAGCCCGGTTGATTGGGATCAGTTGGGATAGCGGAACATATGAATTTAGCTAACTGTGGAATGACAGACCCTAATAGGAGCGATAATGTAGAAGGGAACTCGTCTATTGTAATGTGTGATTTAGCATATAACCACACAACATGGTGTGATAAAACCACTATACAGTATTAAATTGCAATATAAATAGGTGGATAGAGAGACTGATTAATGAATCTTTGTTCATCGAATTAACACACAACAATTTTACCAGAGATATGGAAACGTTTACTACCAATAGAGACAAAGAATTTGAGGTGACAGGAGTAAAACGATCAGGTGTTGAAAGTAGTGTGATTACATCGATATGATTATGACCATTAATAAGTTATGCTCAAAACATCGTCATGAAGTCACTAATGCTGTATCGGAGTTTCTTATAAATTAAATAAACAAATGTAATATGGATTTCACCTACGATGATGACTTGTGTCTAATGTCACACAAACTTGTAGATCTACAGGGAAAAACTAACAAGTTGATAGAAGAGGCAGGGCAGCGAAGGCGCGACTTTAAGTGGACGTAGAGAAGACAGAGTTGGAGGTGATGAAGATACCCAACCAACAACAACAAGCTCGAATCACCATCAATGGGAGAAACTTGAAGGAAGTAGTCTCTTTCACCTACCTACCTAGGCAGCATCGTTTCAACTACAGGCGGCGGCACAGACGATGACGTCAAAGCCAGGATAAGAAAAGCAAGACAGGTGTTCGTCAATCTGAAACCAATGTGGAGATCTTCTGCACTCAACATAAAGAACAAGATTTAGTTTTTCGACACCAATTCAGTCAAGCAAGTGCTTCCATGTGATGGTTGAGAGACTTGGCGTGTTACGAAAGGCATTTACAACCAATAACTGCAGACATTCATCAACAACTGCCTAGCCTGTCTCTTTACTGAAGCTCAGATAGCCAGAATAATAAGAATAAGCAACAAGGAGCTCACTCTGGCTGGTAACGAACCAACCAAGAAGCTATCGCTCAACGAATATGCAGAAAGAAGTGGAGGTGGATCGGGCATGCACTGAGAAGACCATTCGGGGACATCACGTGCCAGGCACTCGAGTGGAACCCAAATGGGTAACGACGAGTTAGGCGTCTGAGGCAAGGGTGACATGGAGATCATGTGAGGAAGAAATGAAAACCTCCGGGCGACGGTGGAGCCAGGTTGAAAAGATTGCACAGAAGAGAGTGGAATGGAGCTCTATGTTCCATTAGGAACCCAAGGGACAAATAATAATATTATAATAATATGGAATTGAAGTCTACCCCAATCCCCAGGTCTTAAACTTCTATGAATAAAAACTGAAATGTATGCTTCACTCATACTTTACTGAATAAGCCGTTCGGGTTCATTCATTCTGCAAACTTTGTCCTATTGATTCTGTAACATAAATCACACTCAATTACATTTTACAAATCTTAAGGAAATATTCTTGATCCAATTTAATGTAAAATAATTAGCATATGAATGAATAAAAATCCTCTGTATTTGATCCCAAAAAGAATTTATTTTCTTCAGAACTGTTTCTTAAAAAACGGTCTACTAGATTAATAAAGTTTTAAATAATCACAGTTTCTTCTTTGAAATATATACGATAACAAGTACTTAATTGCAGAATGGATATCATCTACTAATTTCAACAATTAAATTCCATATTCTACTGTAATTTTGATGACTAGATCGATACTTTTTATTCCTTTATTAGACGTCGATAGTTCTTAGTCTGATCATATTCCTAACACTTGCCTACCTCAGCTATAAACTTAACTCATTACGTTGCTGAATTAACAAACACTGTGAAATGTTAGCCCGAAAATAAGTTATCATTGAATACCGAGAAGGCTTCGTCCCCTCGATCAACTTTCTCATTGAAACTGACAAGTGTTAGTCTGTACCGGCACAATGACTCGAGAAAAAAGGACTAACTTTTTATCGCATTGTATCAGTGACTTGTTTACTATCACAAAAGTTAGACAGAGGCTGAATTTTTTACTCTATGTAAGAATAAGTAGATTCTCATGCGTATATATTGACAACTCAAATGCTGGAGATTTACAAAGAAGTATTCAGGGCTTCAGTTTATCAATTTGTTATACAAAGTATCAATATGAAAAGCTGCTCCAACTTGCTAATTTGAGTCTACGGAAGAGTACAAATATCTGAAGAACAAAGACTGTTCTCTATCCATCTACGTATGAACATCAAGTGTAGGACACAATATCACCGACTTTCTAAATCCGACACATATGAAAAATGATTGACTCCCATGAATACTACAACTCGTTCAGTATTACTTACTTATGTAAGTAAATAAAATGTAGCACATAATATATTATTATGATTTCTTATGTATCATTATATTGTCAACTATACATTTATTTACCTTATTTTATTGTTATTATTAGTAACATGAGTATTTTGTTGGTTTTGTTCGTCAACATTTTTACTTAATAAATTTATAAGTTCAGTTATTCTCTGAGATTTCTTTAATGACAAACGTTCAGGTATTCCACGTGTAAACGAATGATCATTCTGTCCTGTGACGCTCTTCACATTATCATAATTTCTCTGTTCACTTTTCAATGATTCACTTGATATAAGATTAGCGTCCCTTTTATTTGGTGTGTATAATTTATATTTAACATCTGGATCGATATAATAAGGTGGAGATAATTTATTTGATGTACAGTAACTTTTTTTTTCTGATCTTTCATCCTTTGTATATTCACTTTTTGACAAGAACATCGATTCTGCATAGGCTTTGTGTCTTCCATTATGCGAAGTAGATAAATTATGATGATGATGATGATGATGATGATGATGTGAATGAGGTACTCGGTTGGTGATATTGTAATTGTTAGGTGGATCATAGGCGTCATCATCATCATTATCTTCTGTACTCATACTCAAATTAGCGTAATTGTACTTCGATCGATTCAACCAAATCACAGACGGTGGGTTAGAGCTTAGATCATTGTGTTCCATTTGTGTAGAAATTTTAAAAAATTCTATTGTTCTTTTATACACAAACTATAATTCTCACTTGTAAATCAAAAGGATTTCTGTAATTACTGGAATAATATAAAACTTTTATGATCAATTTCACTATAGTGCTGATGACTTCTCACTATGCGCCTATAAAAAAATTCCTTTATAAATTACGAAAATAACATACAAAAACTCACTTAATAAACTGGCTTCCGGAGTTGATATTTGTGAATCATACTCGTGGAAGCCGAATGAGTCTTGTTCATCACCTTTTACACTTCCGAATGGAGATTCTAAACGAAATAAGGAAAAAAGACCAAGTCATAGTAATAATCTATCGAATTGTATCTAGCATTTAACTAATTAATTTAACTAAACAGAGGACACTATAGAGCTACGAGAACCATCACAAAAGTATACTCATATGTTTATATGATCTTGGTAATACGACAAATTTTTGAAAGGCAGCCAGGATAGTATTAGGACAAATTGTTTTTGTTTACACTAGGTACCAGGACAGTTAACGCTTTCTAGACAGTTTGTAGGAAGTACCTAAAAGACAACAACAAGCCACTCAAGACACTATTTTTGTATCATAAGGCATTAAAAATAGTTGAAATATTGCAGCGTTTAAAATTTTGCTGCAGACAGGACAACAAAACTTTAAGTAGCACAATTGAGCTACTTGATAATAACAAGTAGTATGATAAGTAACAACTGATTATTCTCACTTTTTTATGCCAAACTGCCTCATAATATATATATATATATATATATATATATATATATATATATATATCAATTTTACCTACTCACTAGTAGTATCAAAATAAAAACTATTTTTTGGTGGTGTTGCTGTAGTCGACAGATAAATTAGTTATCAGTTTATAAATTTCCTCGAGGTAGACTTCTTATTTGTTACCACTCAGCCACAAGGTTTATCTTTGGTCGTGATTTCACTTATGGTGTAAAGTGCACCAACCAGATAATTAATCGCTGGGAAGACTGTATGCGTCCTTTTTAAACTAGATGGTTTCAATAGCACTTACTTCGCCTACTGAGAGTTAGCCTCATCCTGAGCTACAGTGAGAATATCGTTACATAAATAAGCACTTATCATGACTTAATCAGGGATCATGCAGATGCATGCGTTGTGTATCTATGGAAAAAGTCGCAAGTCACTCTAACTATTCAAATGGTCAATGATGTTTGATATCCTGCAAATAAGTTGACTGTAGAGCAATGTATGCACATACATTACTGGAGATAAATGAACTACTAGTAAGATATTTGTATACCTCGACAAGTTAATATTTATGAAAATTTGATATTTAATCAGTCCTTTTCATCACTGTTTACTAGCATAGTGAATACCAGTCAACAAAAGAAAACGCTATGTGATTTTGAAAAGGTATCCACTTGAAAGGAAAGATAAACTGTAGTAAAAGTAAGGTACTTTGGAGAGACTTTCATCAGTTAATTATTCACTACCGGTTATCGCTACTGGCTAAATAATCGATTTGATATCGTTGGAGTAGCTTTGTCAAGTGTCACATACGAAGATGGTTTATTTTGACTATTTAGAGGATATAAGATTCGTAGCAAGGTTTAGCCTGGTGAGCCTGTGGATGGACCGTCGCTGGATATGCATATATAGCATAGTTATGCACAGAAGTGATCAGTGTGTTAACTTGTCCAGTACATGGATTGCAGTTATATTCTAATTCTATTATGTGAATGCATAGTGCTTTGTCACACCAATAAAGTTCTAATATATAAAAAAGATCACTGGTAAATTTATGAATAATTAGCTTAGCTATGGGACCTAGTTTGTCAAGTGTTGTAGTGATGTTCGCAGGAAATTTTGTTGCCAGACCAGACAAAATTTGTGGGATAGTACTGAATGCATAGTCGTTTTCCAGATTCAGTGAAGGTTTACATGATATATGCATACATTTGCTGAAGTAATACTGAAAATATTTATATTCTTATGATCAGTCTCAGTTCGCTTGACCAAGGCCACCTCTATTTGGTGTAGGTCTCATGCTTTCTAAAGCCAGACACCAGTTCAGAACACCTGTAGTGTGATTTTTTGAGATACAACTCAATGAATGATGAAGTTTTACTCTTCTCCAACACATTCCAATATTTCAAGTTGCTGTTTATCATAGGCTGATATCAGTTGGAAGAAGATTGGAAACATGAGGGAAGCACTGTATGACTTTCGTCATAGCATAGAACCCAGCAGTAAACGCCCACAACTCAGTATGGGGTCGAGCCAACAACCCTTATGTCTCGCGACCAGCACGCTACCAGTGAGCCACTGTGCCGGAGCGCAATGGTCCATGTTTCCGATTTCTTTCAGTTCACGATATGGCGTAACCATCATCGAATGAGGAGTCCCATACTATGACGAAACACGTGCTTCCTTCAGGTTTACAATGTTTTTCCAGCTGATGTCAGTTCATGATGAATACCAACTTGAAAAATCACTAAATCCCCACAAAACCCTGAAGTTCAACTGATATAGTGTTGACTGGTGACTAGTTTCGAGATGTGAATCCTTAAGTTCCAGTAAGAAGTCGTGACCGGTGGGGAAAACCTGGTGGCCGTGAGGTCAAACACTCTTCGATGACACTGGTTGGTGGTCTCACTACGTCGTGGACCATTAGACCAGTGGCTCAATGGTAACTTGCTGGCCACGAAACTGAGCACGTTGGGTTCGAACTCTGGTGGCGCAGGGTTATGGGTGTGCACTGCTGAGGAGTGCCATACTAAGACGAAACAGCTGTCCAGTGTTCCAAGGTTTCTAGTGTTCCCCAAATTGATGTCAGTCAATGGTGAATGCCAAATTGAAAAATCACCAAATCCCTACAAACCCCTCAAGTTCAACAGTTCGATATATTTAAAAGCGAATTTTGGGTATCTGGAAACTTTATTATATTGACACTTGAAATATCTCATTGTTATGCTGAATCAAAATGACCTAGAAATATTGTGATACTGAACAGTTTGCCTATCGGTCATATTATTTATAACACGAGTATATCTAATTCTTACATTTTGGAATAAACAGACTAACTGAAGATATTTATTTAAGATAGTTCGCTTCATGAAGTTATTTCTGTTTTTAATTGCCTAAATGTTGAAAGACTATGTGTTATTAAAACAATGAAATGGTTAGACTAATCGTTAGCAGGATGAACTAACCACTAGACAATAACCGATATGGTCGAAGTCTATTGATTTAGATGACAAGCAAAATGATAGCATAGTGCTCTGTTTCTCATGTTAGCTGCTTCAAGTTCATTGTTGGAATCTAAGGATAATAATCTATCTTGTTTCCATATCTAAACTTTGATAGTCAGTGAGTCTAAGGTTTTGAACTTTCTCATGACATATCCTGAACATCTGATACACGTATAGTAATTCACATTGACCCAATGCCATTTTTTTATTTAAACACTTTCAGCTAGTAACCGCACTTCTACTGCCTAAGTTAGTAGCTTTGAAATGCCCAAATGGAAGTTGAATTTCCTATGGGGTGAAATATTAGGAGAACTGTGTGTTCATCTTGGTTACCTTCAGGGTGTTAAGATCTTCTTCAGTTAGTGAAGAAGACGATTATTATAGGGAATTCTTTGAAAAGAAACATTTCTGTATGCTCTAGAGTGTAAATACGACTACTTTGATGTATTCCTGAGGAAATCATATCAGTGATTTCGGAAAAAATTACGTAGAATCCTCAACACAGCTGGAATAAGGGTGGCATTTAGACCTACAAACTCAGTCAGAGATAAACTTTGTCGGCTTAATTATCCGATAGAACCATTTAAGCAAAGTAATATAATCTATCAAATACCATGTGATGTCTGTGAAGTCAAGTATAGAGGTCAAACTAGTTGGTTGGGGTGAGTTAGAATAGCCGAACATAGGAATTTATCTAAGAATAGAATAACAGACCTAAATAAGATCAATAATCTAGAAAAGCACTCGGCTATTGCCATGCATGCATTAACACACAACCACACAACATGGTGGGATAAAGCCACTGTACCTAAATCCAATATAACTGGATGGAGAGAGAGATTGACTACAGAATCTTTGTTCATCGGATCAACACTCAACACATGTAATAGAAATGACGCAACACCTATACCAGAGATATGGAAAATTTTGCTATCAATAAAAACAAGTCATATAAAGTGACATAACTATACAAATCAAATGTCGAAAGTAGGTTGATAACATTGATCTGATGATGAACAGTAATAAATGATGCTCGAAACGTCATCACGTTAATAATACTAGATCACTGTGTGTTATAAACCAAATAAACAAATCTATTATGAAGTAAAGAAGAAGTTAAAACATTCATCTACTTTTGACATTGACAACGTACTTCTTTCTCATCGTAAAGACTTCATCAACCTCTAAATTATTAGAAAAGCATCCTTTTTGAAGATAATTATGACATATCTAGAAAATAGGCAGCATCAGAACAAAGAAAACATGAAAGTACTCAAAAATTACAGGCAAAACTGAAGATCTTATTAAGATTCCATTTTTTGAATCATAGTTTGGATTACTCTAACCATTGAAAAGAAATATGATAAGCCAACCGTATTCTGTGACAGTAAGATTTTTGAATGGCGATATGAAACAGCTAAGATAATTTACTAGCATACCTGTTACATGAAAATAAAGGATAAATAATATTGGATGCATGAACCAAATTCAACATGAGGACGAGTACTCAACTATAGCACTGGATGAGAGTCACGCTATATCGAGAATTGACAGAAGTACATTAAAAAGGTGAACCATTGGATTCTGACTAATTGCTAGCTGCGGAACCTATGTTTCCATGTTCATGTGTGCGCACTGCTGAGGATTCCTGTCCTCGAAGGAAATATCTGTTCAGTACCCCGGGTTCTCAGTCACTCCCTTTATGATGTCAGCTCACGATGAATAACCACAAACCTGCAGATGAATCAATACTGGAAGTATTCCCAAATGACTTTAAGGAATGAAGCCTACAAGTTACCCTTTCTTCCCCTAGACAACTGCATCAATAAACCCAACTTTACTGGTTACTTACGACTGCCCCTCCAACCACTAACATTTATCGTCGCCCATTATGTGAAACAAGAAATTACAAGTCTCATTTCGATGTCATAATCATTTCGCTGCCAAGTATTTTGACGCTTACACTAACTAATGGGAATTACTGAATGAAGATGACTGTTAGATTAATCATAAAATCGCTTCAGGTATCTTTATTTCGGTTAAT